GCCAGCTGTTTTCCCATCGTTGTTTGCGCCTGTTGCAGAATGAGCTCCTGCCTAGCTCCTATCTTGCTGCCTGTGCCCCTCCCAGGCTGGCGACCCTGGGAGCCGAGTCCCTGCTGCCGCAGCGTAACCAGTGGCATCTTTGAGGCGACTGTCTGCGGACGAGACTGTCTCCAGCCTGTCTCTGAGCCTGGGGGGGGCACCATTGCTCAGGGCATCTAAGAGGGGCAGCTGGCTCCCACTCTCCGCCACCTGCCGCTCTTGTCCATCCTTCCACCGTCACATCTGTCCTGCTGCTCTGTTCTCCTCATCAGTGAGTCCCAGCCCCTGCGCTGGCTGAGATGAGGGAGTTTCTTTAAAGAGCAGGGCAAGTTACTGGCTGTCACTTCGCAGGTGTGTGTGCTTGCCAGTTTGCCTGTCCTCTAAAGAAGCTCCTTTAATGCTTCTTGTGAGCTCGGTGTCAAGACTCTGAGACCTCAAATATCGTCACTATCCATGACAACAACAGCACCTTCGTCTTCATCTTCTTCATCATTCCTCTCATCAGAATCTTCTTCAGCATCTTCATCTGCATCATCCCCACCCACCCCACCCTCATCATCATCACCCGAGTGGCTGCAAGGGAGGAAAAGCCTCTACCCTGAGAAACCATTTAGAAATTTCTTACCCCTCTCCTTTCTCCTGAATTTAAAATAATAAATGGGACCTTTAATACAATTTGACATAACTTTAAAATCATATCCCAAGTTTAGGGGCGGGAGTGATAGTACAATGGGGAGGCCAACCTGGGTTTCATCCTTGGCTTCGCGTGTGCTCCCCAATCCCTGCCAGGAGTGAGCCCTGAGCACAGAGCCAGGAGTGAGCCCTGAGCACAGAGTCAGGAGTGAGCCCTGAGCACAGAACTGGGAGTGAGCCCCGAGCACAGAGCCAGGAGTGAGCCCTGAGCACGGAGTCAGGAGTGAGCCCTGAGCACAGAGCCAGGAGTGAGCCCCAAGTACAGAACTGGGAGTGAGCCCCGAGCGCAGAGCTGGGAGTGAGCCCCGAGCACAGAGCCGGGAGTCATCCCTTAGCACAGAACCAGGAGTGAGCCCTGAGCACAGAGCCGGGAGTGAGCCCCAAGGGCAGAGCTGGGAGTCAGTCCTGAGCACAGAATCGGGATTGAGCCCTGAGCACAGAGTCGAGAGTCAGCTCTGAGCACTGAGCCAGGAGTGAGTCCTGAGCACAGAGCCAGGAGCAAGCCCTGAGCTTACTAGGTGTGGGCCCAAAAACCAACCCCAAATCCCCAATCTTAGGTCAAGTGTTTTAAACCCCTACTGCTTGACCCAGAGGTTCTGAATCATTTCTGCCCTGGGTATTTGTGACTCTGTGTTTGGCCCTGGAACACAGTGACACGGGGTGTATTGATTAGGCCCTAAATGTAGAATGTCATGCCCGGACTTCCAGGGCCAGGCTGGGGAAGCTGTCAGCTGACTTCCTGTCTGGAAGCTGGGTGGGGAGGCACGCAGACTTCCAGCGGGCAGGTGGAGGAGATGCAGCTGGAAACTCGCGTCCACACAGGAGTGAAAAGGGCTGAGGAAACCTTCTCTAAATCAAAAAGGGAACAAAGGCACCTTTGTGCTCGACCCCTCACTGCCAGTTAGTTCCTGGAGAACGTTTCTCCTCGGAGGAACTTGGAAAAGAGTTTCGTTTGATTCCTCCCTGTGCTGTGGGACCCACCTGGTCCAAGGTTCACAGCCATGCCCTCTGGAATATTCCATGCAGGTGGCTGCCTCTGGTGGGCCCTAGGACGCACTGGCTGGCCCCTGGGGAAATTTGGTGGACACCGTGTATGGACAAAATGCTGGTCTTGGGGCTGGAGTGATAGCACAGCGGGGGGGGGAGAGGGGCATTTGCCTTGCATGCGGCTGACCTGGGTTCAATTCCCAGCATCCCATATGGTCCCCTGAGCACCACCAGGAGTAATTCTTGAGTGCAGAGCCAGGAGGAACCCCTGAACATTGCTGGGTGTGACCCAAAAAGAATAAAAAGGGCCGGAGTGATAGTACAGTGGGTAGGGCGTTTGCCTTGCGCGTGACCCACCAGAGTTCAATCCACGGCATCCCATATGGTCCCCCCAAGCACTGCCAGGAGTAATTCCTGAGCGCAGAGCCAGGAGTAACCCCTGAGCATCACTGGGTGTGACCCAAAAAGGAAAAATAACCTAAATAAATAAATAAATAAAAATTTAAAAGTGGTCTTTCCGTTTGCTGGGTGTCCTATGCCTGCCACATGTTTGATGAACAGGACCACGTGAGGGTCACAGAGTCAAGGCGATTGTGGGTTTTTTCTTCACGGTGCCCCTAGGCCACAGCTCAGCCCATGCCTTGCTCGGCCTGCAAGCCTGGGCTGTAGCTTTTTGCCCCTCCACGGGCTTCTTTCTCGGGCGTAATTCAATATCCCTGTGTTTACATGTCTGTGTTCAGTTTGTGACACGTCTCTAAGGGACCCTGTGGGGACAGCAGGCCTGGGGGCCCCGCCCCATCCCACAGGAGGGAGACTGGTTCTACCAGTCCCACGGGGACCAGAGAGGGGTGTCCCGGGTCCCCAGCAGGCCGAGCCTGGCACATGCTCACACGTGCCTCCTTCGCGCCCCGGGTATGTGGTTTGCCCAGTCCGTCTGGCATCGATCTGGCTCTGGGTCAGAGGATAATGACCTGTTTCCTCCAGAGAACAGATGCCAGAGACAAGGGGTGACACCCCAGCTTTACAGGGGCGCAAGCTGGAGGAGAGCAGAAACCCACCCCAGGCATCGTCTCCACTTTGGAAATACCCCTAAGGCTTGTCCTCCTGCCCCCCGCTCCCTGGGGCCCCCAGACCTCACCTCCCCGCCAGCTTCCTGCTCCACCTGGCTCGGCTCCAAATGCTTTCCTCCTTCTCAGAACAAACCAGGGCCCTGGAGTATGACCCCCTTACACCTCCTGCTGTCCCTGGCCCTCACCTCCTGGCCCCCAGCAGGAAGGACTGTCGTGGTGAGGCCCGTTTCCTGTCTCACTCAGCTCCTCCCTCTGTACGACCCTCAAGAGCCCCGATCTGTCACCTTCCAGCTGGCCACTGCTGTCCTCCTCTCTTCCGGCCCCCAGGACTGGGAAATTCCACTTTCTCACGTGACCTGGGAGCTGCCCCCTGGTCCCTGGGTTTCTGTGACTCGGGCAGGTACTCTCGGGCAGTGCCTGCCTTACACTCTCTCACACCCTCGAACCTCGAACCTGGGGGCTGCTGTGCGTACCTCAGACACCCTCCCACCCACCTCACTCTGTCTTAGGAGCAGCCGTCTCCCCGGAGGGGTCCAGGGCATCGCATCGCATAACAGGTGTCCTCATGGGGCCAGAGGGATGGGATGTTGGGGACGGCACTCACCTTGCATGCAGCCAACCCAGGTTTGATCCCCAGCCTCCCTTATGGCCCCCTGAGCACTGTCAGGAGTGATTCCTGTGTGCAGAGCCAGGCGGAAGTCCTGAGCATCATAGAGTGTGGCTCAAAAACAAACAAACAAAAAAAATAGCTGTCGGCAGAGAAACACATCTGGCCTGTGGGCCAGGGCCAGACTCTAATCTCCATCTCCCATCTGCCCAGCCTCCCAGTCAGCAGGTTCGAGGCTTCTCTTCCCCAGCCCCACAGCAGGGAGGGGTGGGAGGAAGTAGGGCAGACCCCCGCCACCTGTAGCCAGTGCTCCCCTGACACCCCTGCAGACCCACAGAACTCATGAGTGAGCGGAGCGGGAGAGCTGAGCCCTAGACCCTCCAGCCACCATGGACATGTGAGGCTTGGGGTTCAGAGTGTGCCCAGGCGGAGGGGCAGGGGCAGCACACGGACAGACAGATGTGTGCATATGCACTCAACACATACATACCACACATGTATACACACCCCCCACCCTGATCCACACAGACACATACATATTCACACACCACACAGACACCCCCATGTACACACACCACCACACAACCCATCCACACATATACACCACACGTATAAACAGACACGTACATGTACACACCCATACATAGGCACACTCCACACATACAGACACACACAACCCATCTACACATATACATACCACACTTGTATACACTATACACACCCCATGGAAACACACAGATACACACCGCAAATATATATGCACACTCTTACACCACACATGTGCACACACACAGTACACATGCACATACACACAGGCACACATATACATGGATATGCATGTACACATGTATGCATGTACACAACCACACATGCATAGATGTACATGTATACATTCACACATACATATGGGTACACATGCATACACATACACACGCACACCAGGGCTCACATATAGCAGCCACAGTAAGAGTTGTTTAGTGACCCCTCCCACTCACACACACTGGTGAGCTGGGCAATGGGGTAGGCTCTGGGTACTCGGGGGCTTCTCGGGACTTTCCAGGGAGTGAAATCCAGACAGGCCGGCTGTCCGGCAGGCAGCAAACTGAGACACCCTTCAGGGACACAGCTCGGGTCCGTGTGTGCACGCCACCTCGCACCCGTAGCCACACACACGGAGCCTGCGCAGACCCTTGCACACGCCCTGCACGCGCGCGCACGCACACACCCACACAGGTGTGCACATATGCAGGCGGGCTCCCCCTACACCCAAACGCGCAGCCGAGTCCGCCAGCCTCACACAAGCCCTGAAGCCCTGGGGTCGGGGTGACTAACTGGAAAGTCCCGCGAGCGCGCGTCGCGTCGCCACGCCTTAGGGCCTGTCCGCGGAGCCGGAGCCGCCGGGCCGCGCGCGCACGTGGCGGGGCCGCAGGCGAAGGGGTGGCGGGGCCTTTAAGGGGCGTGGCCGGAGCGCGCGGTCCCGCCCTCTCCCCGCCCCCCGCGCTCCCAGGCCCCGCCCCGCCCCGCCCGCCCCGCGCGGCGCCGGCCTCCTCTGGCCACTGCGGGGCCGCGGGCGGGACGCCCCGGGGCGGCGCGCGGAGGAGGAAACGCGGCGGGGCCGTGGCCCCGGCCCTGCTCAGACGCCCGAGTCGGCCGCGCCGCGCGCCGCGTCCGCAGTGGCCAGGTGTGCGGGTGGCGGGCGGTGCCGGCCACCCCCGCGCCCCCCGCCAGCCCATGTCCTGAGCACGCCCGGCGGGCCGCGGGCTATGCGCCGGCACCATGTCCCTTCTGGGCGCGTGGCTTGTGGAGGTGCAGTGGCCGCTCCTGGTGTCGCTCTTCGTGGTGGCGCTGGGCACCGTGGGCCTGTACCTGGCGCAGTGGGCGCTGGCCAGGGAGCCACGGCCGGCCCCGCGGCTCACGGCTGAGCGCGCAGAGGGGCCGCGCCCCGAGCCCGACGCGCTGCTCGCCTGGATCCTGACGCTGGACAGCTGGCGCAGGCAGTGGCAGGCGGCCTGGGTGAGCGCCCTGAACCAGGAGGCCCGGAGGAAAGGGGTGAGTGCGGGGTGCTGCGGGCCGGGCTGGGCGCGGGCTGAACCCTCCCCGCACGTGAACCGCCCTTGGCAGTTAGTTGCAGGAAGGTCCGGCTCCTGGGTGGGACCCGACTTTGTGGTAGTTTAGTTCCCCAGGCGCGGGGGTGGCCGGGCTTCCATCCCAGGGACTTGTCAGAGGCACTTGGACCCGCCCTCTCTGGAGCCCCAGTGGACCCAGGTCCCCAGTGGACAGAGCACTGTCTGCCTGCCTTGTGAGGCAACCCCAGCCCCTCTGGGTGCCTACTAGACCCCCAGTGCGCTTCCCTCAGCATCCCCAGAATCCCTGTGCCCTCCCCACGCGGGAGCTGTGGGATGTCAACATTCCTTCGGATGAGAAGACTGAGGCTGGTGGAGTTGAGTCACGCACTCTGGGTCGCTCAGCCTGTGGGTTGCAGAGAGTTGCGGAACTCAGCTGCACCCACTTGCCTGGACCCCCAAGCCCCTGGCCTCCTGGCCACAGGCAGGCTCTTCCCTCTGGCCAGTGACCCAGGTGCTGTCATTTCTCTCTGAAGACATCTCAGTGCGATCACAAGCTCCAGCAGCAACTGGTCCCACTCACCATCTTCTGCCCGGACCTCAGGCATTCACGGTCCTGTGAGTGTTGCCCATAGGACACCCTGTGCACCCTAGCTTTGGACCCATCAGCTTCCAAACTAACACACATCAAAGCCTCATGGACACAGTCCAGGGGATGGGCAGAAGCTCCTGTCCCAACGGCCCGTGCCAGGCCCTTCACATCACAGCCTCCATGTGGACGGGCAGGACAAGGGTCAGGTGCTTGCCTCACACCAGCTGGTCCTGCTCTCATCCCTGGCACCACATATGGGTCACAGAGCCAGGGGTGACCCCTGAGCACAGAACCATGAGTAAGCCCTGAGTACTGCTGTGTTATGGCCAATCACTTGCGAGCCATTGGCATTCATGCCTCAACCCTGGCCTCCAGCTCCAGAGAGGAAACACAGGAGTTCAGGCATTTGCCTGGCACGAAGCTGACCCTCACTCGATACTTGCCACTGCATGATCCCCTTAAACGTTGTCTGGAGTAGCCCTCCCACCCCCCAAAAAGGAAAGGCTCTGTCCCCCGGGCATTCTGGTCTAAACTGTGGAAGGGGCCCCACCCCATCTCTGTGGGAGCCCCAAGTGTGTGGGAACCAGCCCAGCTGTGTTTTCTCATAAAGCTGCTGTATTGACCACCACTGTCCAGCACTGGGTACTGGCCTTGAGTCCAGAGCAGGCTGCCGGCAATGGGGCAGTCCTGCTCCGAGTGAGGGGAACCAGCAGTGGGTGCATGTCTGTGGGGTCTCCCCCTCTATCCCTGGACTCCCGCGTCCAACACTGCTCTGCACACATTGGGACGACTGACCTGGGCTCTGAGGCCCCAGCCCAGGCCGCTGGGGCTGGCTGCTGTGTCCCTGTCCCTGGTGGTACCAGCTGCAATATTGGATGCCCAGTGTGCTAGGGAGGAAGGAGGAGGTATCCCACCCTGCTATGGGCTCTGGCCGCTCAGGTGAAGCTGGGAATGCCACTGGAAGACCCAGGGGCTTCAGAGAAGTCCCTGGACACCCACCTGGGGCTCGGAGGGTTTTGCTCTGGGGCAGAAGGGACCTGGGGATTATTGGCATGTGTGGTTGGCCCTGTGCTGTGGGGATACAGGCATTTGCCCGGACCCCTGCTGGGATGTGCCTTCCCCACCCCTGCCAGGACACGCCTACTACGTCTAGTTCAGAGGTCTCAGCTGTACTCAGTGCAGTGTGGTGGCTAGTTCTGTGGACGCCACCAGTTGGGCTGCCCAGCTCGCCCTGGGCACATAAACTGGCCTGGGTCAGCTCCCAGCGGGAGGGTTTGCAGACAGATCGCATCTGGGGTTCCCGCTCTGCCCCTCTGCTTGCCCTGCCCGTGTCCCAGTGTGCCACTGACGATCTTCCCGTGATGGCCCCACAGCCTCCTCTGCCTCCCCTAGCTCGAAGCCTGCTAATCCCTGATTAGGGTTGATCCGCGCCCAGAGACCAGCGGCTTAGAGGCCCCCACCCCCGGTCCTGTTTCTCTCCACCTGGCTTGGGGGGGGTGAGTGGGGGTGACCACCTCTCCCTGGTCACAGGTTGGGGGGCTGGGTGCCCTGGGCGAGCTCACACATCGAGGCACCTGCAGTGCAGGGAGGGTGCTGCGCCCAGCCTCTTGCTTCAGGGCAGGAGGTCCCTGAACTCTTGCTGTGTGACCCCAGCCCTTGGGGGGGTGGCGGAAGCTCTGGCCCAGCTTAACCTTGACCTTGACCCCAGGTTGTCCCCACAGGAAGTGTATTTCACTTGGAGACCCAAATATTTCCTCTGGAAAGTGTGTGCTGTGGACAGGTTCCCCGTCATGGGTCCTGAGGACGGGCGTGCAGCCCCCACATCCTGAGCAGAGTGAGCGTGTGGACACTGGTCGTCATGCCCTGTGTCCTTTAGGATGAGGCAGGACAGGGACCTGGAGGGGTTGGGCTGTGTTACGCTCCCCCCAGCCCTGGAGGCATTTCGTGCCCCCACAGCTGAGAGTCACCGTGAGAAGCCACAAGGCACACGTCCGCCCCTAAGCCCCCCACCACAGTCCCCTCCCCCTCTCGTCCTAGTCCCTGAGAGCCCGGAACTGGCCTGGTCACTGATCTAGCTGCTTAAGCCGGGGAACGGTCGCCTGTTCTAGCCAGTTGGGCTCAGGTTCCTGCTTTGTTCCCTGGTGTTCACACTAACATCGGCAGCCTGGTGATGGTCCCCGCCCCACAGAGCCGCCCGGGAGGTTCTGGGGTCACTGTCCCACTGTCTCTCCAGCCCTGGAGCCAGCCGGCTTGTCCACCGACCACCCCCACTCCTGGGCTGGACAGTGCCCTCCAACAGGCTGGCACTGTATGGATTCTGCGTGGCTCGGGGGCTGAGCTTGTCAGGAAGCTGGCCACCCAGACTGGCAGTGCCCACCCTTGGGGATGGCCAGGGCCATTGGTGTCTGTTGTCTGGGGCCCGGGGTTTCCTGCGGACCAGTGTCCTCAGTCGCATGACCAAGACAGGGCTCATGTGTGGTCTGGGGAGAAAAAAAGCAGAGATGCTGTTTTCTGGGAGCGGAGAAGCTGTTATTAATAGTGCTGTGACGCGCAGGACAAACCGCGGCACGCTCTGGGCTGCCCGTGGACTCGCCAGAGCCTCAGCACCCTGGCCCAGGCGGTGGCCACAGTCACAGGCAGCTGGCGGGAATGGGGCGGCAGCCCTGGGCCAGGCCCTGGATCTGTCCCGCACAGAGACCCGGCATCTTCTCTCGCTCAGACTCCAGGTTCCTTCCTGGGCTGGGCCTTCTCAGCTGTCTCCGCTCCAACCTAACCTTTCTCCTTATTCCACATCTGGAAACTTCGCAGGCTTAGCTCATGGGTCCCTGGCCCTCCCCCCGCAAAGACGCTGTCCTCACCCGCCCCTCCGTCAGCCCCACCCAAGCCGGCTCTCCCTCGTTCCTGCATCTACTCGGGGCTTCATTCATGCGCCCCTCTGCCCCCCACCATCATGAGCTGGCCCAAGCCCCGGTGTCTGCAGAAGGCCGGCCCCTGGGGCCAGGACAGCTCTGTCGCCAGAGGGGAAGACACCGCAGCGATGTCCATTGTGCTGCCCAGACCCAGGCCTTCCCCACTTGGGAACCTGCCAAACTCGAGCAGAACAAGCTGTGGAACATGCCTTGTTTTGGCCTCGTCACGAAGCAACAGCGTTAAAGAGAATGCTGATGACTGCACATTGTCACTCTGCCGCCCAGAACAAATGCAGTGGTGTCTCAGCCGCCTCCCTCAAGACTGGAACGCTGGGGGGGGGGGGGGGGGATGTGGAAGGAAGAGTGGGTGTAGTGTTAAGGTCAACTCAGATGCAGCCAAAGCTAACTTCCACTCCCGCCCGCGGGGAAGGGGCTGGGAAGGGCTGGGACTGTGGGCGGCCAGGCAGCTTGGCTGGCTGGAGGTCACATTCCAGCTGTGCCTTACTAGCTGTGTGACCTGGGGCCAGGTCTGACCTCTCTGTGCTTTATCTGTAGAAGGGAATAAATAACTCAGAGTTCAACCGGGAGAACAGAATCCACCGGGAGTGAGATAAGCTTTTAGCAAACCCTCTGTCAAAGCCAGGCTTTCCCTCTGAGGAAGTGCCCTTCATGGTTTTTATTTATTGCCAGTTTCAGAATTACAACAACAACAAAAAAGTTGTAAAATAATTGTACAAATAATTGCAAGTTTCTCCCCTTATATTCTGTACCTAACCTTACTTAACCAAAGCTCTGGGATCATAACCATGGAATTAGTATCATTATAATGTTACTATAGTTTTTTTATGAGAGCATTATTAACATTGTCACAATATAATACATTAGCATAGATTAAAAATTTTTCTGTAATTTATGTTCCCTATGGTAACTATTATAATAGCACAGAAAATTAGCAGTTTGCTGTGATTCCTAATACAGCTATAGTAACATTGTCACAGTAGAGGAAGTTAATAGATACATTGTTATTGTAATACAGAGTAGGAAATAATAGTAACACTGACAATAGGGGAAATTAACCTAGTGCTAGTATAATTCATAGTTGAGTGACATTAACACTAGCAACAGGGAAGCTGGAATAGACATTGTCACTCATTCACCTGGAGTGATTGCAGAAGCTCTAGGAGATTTCAGAGATGCAGTACTATCTTGCATACTAGAGCAGAAGGACATTGTAACAGCATCAGAAGTTCTTGCAGATACAATTTTACTATAATTCAAGCACCATTATTAACACTTAACAGCATAGGAAATTATAGCCTGCATGGCTGTGAATCAGGATGGAGCAGTGTAAACATTGTAACAATGCAGAATGCCATATGGATACAGTGTTAGTGTCGCCTGTGGTGAGTAATGCTAACATTGTCACAATGTAGCAGGTCAGGAGGGGCGCTGTTACTGTGATTCACCGGAATGCGCTGCTCTGGGCAACAGGCAGGAAATTGACATTGGCTGGAGTGTCTGACATTGGACCCGCAACTTCACAGGTTCCCACCCGCATCCTTTCATTGTTCCTGAGGCTAGCCAGGGGCTCACAGGCTCTGCACAGCCTCTCCCGCCATCAGGAAGTTTTCCTGTCTTGCCTAGTTCCTTATCACCTTGATAACACTGGAGTGCAGGGGGTTAGTTTGCCAAATGTCCCTCAGTTTGGTGTCATTGCACAGTTGGCTGAGGTCACCCATCATGGAGCCTGTGGGTGGCTGTGGCTCAGAGTCCATCTGCAGTGCTCCTGGATGCTCAGCTTGGCTTGCAGCCCTTGGTCGGTGTTTTCAGGGTCTCTCACTTATCTCACTGTGCTTACACAGAGCCACGGGGGATGCTTCGAAACCATTCATGTCTAACTTTGATTCACTGATTTTCACACCTCACTGATTTTTTTTTACATGTTTATCCAGTCTGCAACAGTTATTTCTGGGGTGTTTGCTTAAAAATGGTTTGTTTCCGATTGTCTGTTTACTTGGAGTTCTGCAAGAACTGTTGTTTCTCCCCCATCTGTTTATTTACAGCAATATGTAAATCACACACATGGGCTTGCACGTGTGTGCATGCATGAGTGCATGTCATAGAGACATGTTAGGCTTTATGTAACTCGTGCTGCTTACAGTTAGCAGCGTATCACTGGCAGCTGGGGTCTCATGGCTCCTGAACCCCTTCGGTACACGGCAATGGTTGGTGCTTGTACATGCTCTGACATAGGCAGGGGCACTCCCGCATTTCTTGTCTGTTTCTTCTCTCCCCATCTGCTTCTCGTGAGCAGACCATCCGTACATCTCGGTCTGCCCTGGTACACACTCCAGCTTCTCACCAGGCTCCCTGGGGCCCTGAGGAGAAGCACATCCAGGACCCAGTGTGGCTGACGCTCCATCGGGCTTTGCCTGAGTGTGTTTGGTCGAATCTACTTCCTGCCCCTTTCGACAGTTCTCACTCACGCTCTGTGTTGGGCCCCCTGGTTCGCATTTTGTGTGTTGTGGTTTGCGCCCTGGTGCCTCCCACGTCATGACTGAAGACCTCGCCCCTCTGTGCAGTGATGCAGCACCCTCCTTGGCCATGGACTCAGTTGCCCCAGCGGCTGGGAGTCCATCCTGGGGCACTTGTGTGGGTGGTGGCCTCTGAAGACCCTCGCGGCAGTGCTCCAGGCTGTCCCTACATGCCGGCTGTGCTCCCGGGAGTGCTGTCTTGCTTTTGTCTCACTCCAGGCTGACCCTGTCACTTCCCAGTTCTGGGGGTCGGACTCTGGCTATGTGGTCAGCTCACAGGTCCTCCAGAAACCCAGACAGCGCGTCAGAAAGGGTGTCTCAAGCGTGACTCGCTGGCGGCTTTCCTTTGAGGGACTCCTCCGGCCATGACATTGCATAGCAGAATCTCGTCAGAGTTCCACTCCACAGGGTACCGCCATGTCAGGGCATCGGGGTGTGGCACAGCCATGCATCTTTCGGCCCACACAGAGCAGGTATTGTGCTGGGCACTGGCCTAGCACCTGGGTCCCTTCCAGCCCATGGGCCGGTCTGCTGCCTGGCACCAGGCTCTGTGCTATCTCATCCCCTCTGCCAAGGCACCAAGCAAAGTCCTGGTGAAGCCAGCCTCTCACATGAGTGCTGGCTGTGGCTCTGATGGACGCCCTCATCTTTCCAGTGGAGCTCATGCGTTCACACCCTGACGACGTTGGGGAGGGGGTGAGGTCGATGTTGCTGAAACGGGGTGAGGTCAGCAATGACCCCGCCAAAGCTTGCCTGGTGCCTTGGAGACTTCATCATCAGGAATTCCTAAGAACCGGCCTCTCGCTGACCTCACAGCTCGCTTCCTGGGAAGAGTCCTCAGCCTGGCTCCTTCCCGCTCGGGGCCCTTGGAGCAGCCTACCTAGGGCGGGCTCTGAAGTCTCAGCACTGTGGGGAGGGGGGGGGGGATGAGGGGCTGCAGATGTGTGTTCCCGGACCACCCTGCAGAGTGCCCCTGACCATGATGGGCTGCACCTGAGATTTGATTGCGTGTCTTGCACATGGACCCAACCAGACATGAGTTGACTTGGCTGCAAGGAGATTGTGGTTGTTGATTATCAGGGAGGTTTGCAGAGTTGGAGGCGGAGGAGAACCCAGAAGTTTGAGGGTGGCGGGGGCAGTAGCCAGTTTCTCCAGAGAGCCCAAAGCAGGAGTCCTGACTTGTGTTTTTGGGCACAGCCACCGAGCTGCCCTCTGTCCCCCGCCCCCACTGCACACACACACACACACACACACACACACACACACACACACACACACAGCCACACAGCCTCATATTCCTAGGAGAGGAAGGTAGGTCCTAGACCATGTCACGGTGGAGGCTGAGGAGGCGACAAGGGGACACGCTGTGTGGGAACTGGGGGGGCCATGGACTAGCCGGCCCTGCAGCTCTCCAGCAACTGGCCCCCCGCACACCAGGACCCCACTCTGTGCCTGGTTGGGTTCCCGGCCCCCTGCTCCCCTGCTCCTCCACCCCCTGAGCTGGGCCATTGCCCCATGTACGCTCGGGGAATACTGGGCTTCTAAGATAGGAAGTGGCAGGCCAGCAGTCGTGTTGTATGACCTAACCCCTGACACCTCCTCCTTTCCAGGGCCCCCTGGATCTCACCTTCCAGGAGGACTCCCAGAAGCAGCTGTTGGAGCTGGCAGTACAGCGAGTTGCCAGCACGACCAGGTCGGCACAGGAGAAGGTGAGTTGGGCTAGGTGGGGACACTATGTGAGAGCTGATGTACAGGCACGGACACACATGTCCCCTGGGCTCGGGGGAAGGACCTGGAGCAGCACAGCCAGCATGCCTTGTGGATGAGGGCACAGGGCTGAGGGGAGGAGCACTCCCAGAGGACTCCCAGAGCACTCCCCAGAACACTCCTTTGGAGCACTCCCCGGAGCACTCCCTGGAGCACTTCCAGAGGACTCTCAGAGCACTCCTGGAGCACCTCCCAGAGGACTCCCCAGAATACTCCTTTGGAGCACTCCCTGGAGCACTCCCAGAGCACTCCCCAGAACACTCCTTTGGAGCACTCCCTGAAGCACTCCTGGAGTGCTCCCCAGAGGACTCCCTGGAGTACTCCCTGGACCACTTTCCAGAGGACTCCCCAGAACACCCCCAGAGCACTGCCTGGAGCACTCCCAGCCCTCAGTGCAGGACAGCCTTCCTGCCTGTCCACATGATCCAGTCCTATCTGAACTGATGGCTGGTGATATCAGGGCCGGGTGCTAGGCCTGGGGGCTGGAGAGTGACTGCAAGCTCAGGGTTTCCTTGCGGCTGAAGAGAAGTCTCATGGAGGCCATGGAAATGGGGCTCACATGGTTGGATTTGGCGAGGGATTAGGCCCCAGGGAGCACAGGCTCAGGAGTCCTGTAGCCCTGCGCCACCCCAGCCCTGGGGGGTGGTCTCTGCTCCACCTCCAGCTCTGCATCATTGCACTCTGGGGTCACCCAAAGGTGTGGCCCGAGGGACATGGCCCTGTGGTCAAGCATGTGCAAGCGTGTGTGCATGTGAGTATGTGTACGTGAGTGTGAATGTCTGTGCATGTGCGTATGTACGTGAGTGCATGTAACTATGTAAATATGCACGTGTGCATGCACACGTGGATATATACGTCAGTGCACATGTATAAGTGCATGTATACAAGCAGGCATATTTGTGTTTGTAAATGTAGGTGTGTACATATGTGTACGTGTGTGCCGTGTACATGAGTGTGCTTGCATGTCCATGTATGTGTGCACGAGTAGATGTGTCTGCCTTCCGGCCCACACCAAGGCTACAGGTCCCCTCAGGAGGATCTGTGTTCCCCAAGCCTGTGTCTTCTGCTGCTCGAACCCGCCTCCATGCTATCCTCCTTCCCCCTGCCCTGGGGAGTTTGCTCCCACACATGTGCCCATGAAGGGGCTGGCCTGGGTGTCAGCCCTGCCAGGCAGCTCTTCTTTGCGCAGGCAAGCCCTGGAGGGGGGGGTAGAGGGGGGAGCCCCGGTGGCTGCGCTCGCCCTCACTGAGCCGAGGAAGGTGCCTTCACTCAGGTCCCTGCGTGAGTTTGGACGCAGCATTGGTCTGGAATGTTTGTGTCCTCGGCATGAGCTGGAGGGGTCCCAGAAATGCGGGTGCTGCTGTTCTGGGGGTCACTCGCCGCTAGTGAGGCCCCAGAGGTTCTGGGGAAGCAGGAGAGAGGGGGAAGGAAGTGGCGCCGGCCGGAGGGGACATGGGCTTCCTAGAGGGCAGCACCCAGAGCCCACATCTCAAGTGGACACGGGGTCATCCCAGGATGGGGGGCACCCACTTGCCTTTGCAGAGTCGGACTCAACCTGCCTCTCAAACAGTCCCGGACCTAGTGCAGCTGAGCGTCTCGCGAGGGTACTGTCGGGCTGAGCGTCTTGTGAGGATGCTGTCGGGTGGAGCATCTCAAGAGAGTGCCGTTGGGCTGAGCGTCTCATGAGGGTGCTGTTGGACTGAGCGTCTCTCGAGAATGTCGTAGGGCAGAGCATCTCGCAAGAGTGCTGTCGGGCTGAGCGTCTGGCGAGGGTGCTGTCAGGGACCAGCTTACGTGGCCCCTGTGGCCTCTCCCCGGCCTTCTGTCCCTCAGGAGCTTCTCAGGAGGGCCCAATGTCTCTGGCCTGTGCCAGCACCTGCTAGAGCCTGTGCCCTTGAAGGGGCCCCGCGTACTGCTTTCTGGTGACTTCCGGCTGCCAGCAGGGGCGTCTTTAGTCCCAGCTCGGGACTTCCTCCATCCTGAGCACTCCACCATCCCCTCCTGGATGATGCATCACACTGATGCCATCCCCACCGCAGGCAGTGGCCAGGGGAGCCAGGAGGGTGGCCAGGGTCTGTGCATGAACCACAAGAAGACGCTCCGGCAGCGTTGGACTGGAGCTGTCCCTAGTGACCAGCTGTTTCCAGGGAGCTCCTCACTCCTCTCTTGCCCATTGTGCAGAGGGGGGAAACTGAGGCAGAGCGGCCAGCCACTTAGCCAAGGCCTCTGGCGAGAGCTCTTAGCTGCAGAGGCTGTGACGGAACCCGCTTTGGCTCCTGGCAACCAGCCCCCATTGCTGCGCACGGGTGCGGGTAGTCAGTGTCACTGTGGGAGCGAGAAGGGTCTGGTGTTCTTGGGGTTAATGCTGAGGGCTGCCTGGAGGAGGTGCCACCATAGAGTCTCTCCAAGGGAAGCTAGAGCTCTGTGCCTATGTGATGGGCGGGCTGGTCTCCACAGAGGAAACATTCATATAAAAGTAGCAGTTGATGAAAACTGCCGGTGCCAGAGTGTTGGTTCTGGGAAGGCCAGAACCCCGAGTGTCCATGACACCCAAGGAGCCACACGCCGGGCGCCCGCACGCAGCAGGGGAGGGTGCTCGAGTGCGGATGGCATGGGGAGGGCTGTGTCGTCCGACTCAGGGGACTTCTGGGGGCTCGTCCTGTTCTCTGCAGCCCCCGGCAGCGCTGCGTAGGTACAGGCAAAGGCTGTGAGGCTGCGAGTCTGCACAGCCCCAGTTTGTCCCGGGCAGAAACTGGGGGATTGTTTGTTTTTCTTTTCCTTTTGGTTTTTAGGCCGCACCCTGTGGTGCTTAGGGCTTCCTCCTCTGCACTCAGGGATTACTCCTGGTGGGCTTGGGGTACAGTACGGGGTGCTGAGGATGAAGCCAGGTTGGCCACTGGCAAGGCAAACACCTTCCCCCACTGCACTATCACTCAGATCCCCTTTTGGGCCCCCTAATTTTTTTTTTTAAACCTTGGCATGGCTTGCAATTCCAAGCACCGCACAGACCTGATGTTTCTGTAGAAAATGTACCAGGCTGTGGAGTTGTTTGGCACCATGTCTTTCCGAGCACAGGCCATGCCCGGGACTGGCATTTGCTTACTTTTTTCTCCACTATATTTTGCGATGCCAGGAATGAAACCCGGGGCCTGGCACAGGGCTCGGTGAGTGCTCGGACACCAAGTGCCTCCCTGGCCTCTGGTCATTCACCACAACAAGGCAGCCCCCGCGACGGACATTCTTTTTTTTTTTTTCTTTTTGGGTCACACCTGGCTATGCTCAGGGGTTACTCTTGGCTCTGCACTCAGGAATTACTCCTGGCGGTGCTCAGGGACCACATGGGATGCCGGGAATCAAACCCGGGTCGGCCGCGTGCAAGGCAGAAATGCCCTACCCACTGTGCTATCACTCCAGCCCCATGATAGACATTCTTGGCTGTGGACAGTGCTCCCGGATGTGTTGTTTTCCGTGGACTCTGCCCCGGAGTCGACTCGTGTTTGATGTAGGATCTGCACATCCCGGAGAACGTTTGTGGGTGACACCAGCCTGGACTTATCAAAGGGGAGCACTGAGGGGGGAGGGAGGGTCTCCTCGACCTCAGCTTAGGGCTGTGTGACTTCATAACTGAAATACAGACTGCGTGTTAACACACAGCCCCGTGGACACACTGTCCAGGCTGGGCCCCGGGGCCTTGGGGGACATGGGGATGAAATTTGTGGCCATTCTCAGAGTGGGGGAGGAACTGGAGCCCTGGCAGCCCCAGGTGACTTGGATCAAGGTGCGTGGATGGAGCTTACTGAAGGTTTACTGCCGAGGACTCTGGGTGGGCCGCTCCAGTGAAACCTGGGGTAGCCAGGCTTCACATTTGGGGGCTCCGAGTCTCGATCCAAGTTTCCAGGTCAGACCTATGTCTGTGAGTCCCCGGCCGAGCCTGAGGCGGGAGATGGAGAGAATGCTAGCAAAGAGAGAGGATGCAAGAGCAGAGGGGAGAATGCATGAGCAGAGAGGTGGGGGGTTCGATCTCCCCTGAGTGCAGGAAAGACACAAATGGATCAAGGGTCAAATCCGGGGCTGGAGAGATAGGATGGCATCGAGGCGCAGCCTGGCGGGAAGCTGAGCCTGGCTTGATCCCAGCCAGCTCGTTCCTCAGGCACCGCCAGGACTCAGCAAGCACAGAGCCGGCAACAACCCTGAGCACTGCTGGCTGTGGCCCCCAAACCAAACAGATACGGTTGGTGGGATGGAGAGAAAATGCAGCAGCTAGGACACTTGCTTACATGCAGCCAACCTGGGTTCAGTCCCCAGATTCCTGCATGGTCACCGAGCACTACCTCTGGGGTCCCACTGTCCCCAGGCTTGACAGCTCTGCGCGTCCTGCTTGCTTCCTCGTTGACTGGCTGCTGACTGGCCGCCGACCCCCAGCCAGGATCACTGCTTCCTGGGAGTGAGGTCGTGAGAGCCTCAGGCCCAGCTGGATGCAAAGGGTCCGGCGGTTTCTTGCTTGGATTCAGGCACAAGGAACCCATCCATATTGTCAAATTCCAGTTCACTTCCTGTAGAAGGTTCCAGAGAACTAAAAAAAGCAAAGAGGTCAGACTCAGAGCTCTTTGTTTGTTTTTGTTTTGTTTTGTTTGGGGGGGCCACACCCGGCGGTGCTCAGGCCTCACTCCCGGCTCTGTGCTCAAGATCCCTCCTGGTGGGGCTCGGGGGACCATGTGGGTGCCGGGATCGAACCCAGGCGAGCTGGTGCCAGGCCAGGCCCTCCCCGCCGCTCCGTCTGGCCTCACGCTGCAGAGCCCGGCCCGGGGACGGTTTCCTGCCCTGTCGTGCTGTCTCAGAGCCAAGCTCCTCCTCCAGCACCCAAAACGCTCCTCCAAAAGGGACTGTTTACAGAGCATTTATTTTTAAAACAAGTCAACGGCATTTCTCAGGCAAACATTTTTATGTTCCGACCTTTTGTGACCCCTGGCACTGCGGTGGCAGGGGCGGGCCGAGAGAGGCCACACCTTCGCCTTCTCCAGCCTCTGACTATGCTCCAACCTCTGCCAAGCTCAGTGCTCAGGGTAACTCCTGCCTCTGTGCTCAGGGGTCCCTCCGGGTAGTGCCGGGGGACGTGATGGGGTCCAGTGCATGCCGGCCATCTCTGCCCCCCCCCCACGCCCCCGCACTGTGCTTGTTTGGCCTTGTGGGGGCCTCAGTGGAGCATGTTTCAGGGTTTGCTGATTTTTGTGATTTTGTTTGTTTCCTGGGTGTTGTTATGTGATCAAGCTAGCCACTCCAAGGTGTGGTGTGTGCTGGGGGCTCACACATCAGTCGTGTGCTCACAACGGCTGCACTTGCCCAGGGGCCGCACTTCTGCACACACAGCTGCATCTCTCCAGGGGTTATGTTCACGAAGGACCTCATCCCCTTAGGTGGTGCTTACACACCCTTGCTCTGGTGCTGTGCGTATGTGTGCATGTGTGTGTGTGTGCGTGCATGTGTATACGTGTCTGTGCGTGTGTGTATGTGTGCATGCGCATGCATGGGTGTGCCTGTAGGTGTGCCTGTGTGTGCACATGTGTGTGCATGTTTTTTGCATGTGTGCATGTGTGTGCTTGTGTGCCTGTGTGCACATGTGTGCGCACGTGCATGCGTGTGTGTACATGTGCTTGCCTACATGTGTGTGCATGTGCGCGTGTGTGTACGTGTGTGTGCACACATGTGTGTGTGTGCACATATGTGTGTGTATAAATCCTGTTCACCAGGCCATCAACAGCAGAGCTTCCAGTTTCACTCTGGTGCCCATGGGACACTGGAGATCGGACGTGCTCTTGGCCCTGGGCTGTCTCCAAGGCCCATGTGGGTGTCACCTTGTGACCCTGTAACATTTTATATGCTTGGAAAACCGTGAGATGTTAAGCATGCTCTGGTAGACGTACATTCTCATGTTCTGGCACGAGAACAGGGTGGGTCCCACCACCGGGTGAGTCTACAGCTCATTTTCTCCTGAAGGCTCTTTAGGGGACTGTAGGTATCTAGTCTGAGCCCTGAGACCTGGGGAAGCAGAAGGTTGAACTGCAGGGCTTCGAGCAGAGCAGCCCAGCCCACGTGTGCCTGGCTGTGGGGAGCACGGGCTGTGCCCCCAGGACTGGCCTGCGCCCACGCGTCCTCCCACAGCTGCCCCCTTCCGCCTCCTCCAGGTGCTGTCCTGCCTTGTGGTCGGGAAGACCCTTCAGTTTGCGGTCAGCGTGGCACCAGCCCCGCCGGACTCTGGGCCGCGGCTGTATAGTGTGCAGCTCTGCCCGCTCCATCTGAAGGTACGGGGCCCCAGGTGCCCGGGCACGGCCAGCGGAGGTGCTGGGTGGGCTGAGGGCTGCTCCTGAGTGTGGGTGGTCTCATCAAGGGTCTCCGGCATTGTCGCTGTGTATCTCAGGATGTGGAAAGAGGGAGCTGCTGTGGCAGATGCCCCCTACACACACACACACACACACACACACACACACACTCATACATGCAAGTGTGTCTCCACAGGCAGGGGAGTCTAACAGCAGGGGTCAGGGTCGGGCATGGACTTGGCGGGGATAGGCCCCTGGTCAGGCAGGGAGGGCACCAGCCTTAAATGAGGCTGACCTGGATTTGATCCTGGTACCATCTGATGCCCTGAGCCTGACCAACACTAGTCCCTGAGCACAGAGCCAGGAGTTAGCCTGAGCACCTCTGGTTATGACTGGCTGGGCGTGCGGGGGGAGAATCCCTGTTAGAGGTTCAGAAGCTTGACTTCGTTCTATCCGTGTATACGGGAAAATGTCTCAGTTACACGACTAGGTCACAACTGGGCTATGTGGTTGTTTCTGTACCAGGCAGAGTCTCACATATTCCGTGTACTGTACACACGTGTGCAGACCATGTCTGCACCAGGCAGAGTCTCATGTGCTCTGCGTGCTGTGCGCATGTGTGCAGACCATATTCACAAGGACAGCCACCACAGACATGTTCCTGAATCTCCTACGTGCCTGAATCTCAGCCCCCTGAGGACATTGTTAACAAACTGGGCTTCTGGGTCCCCTTCCAGGGGGGCGGGGGGTGCCCACGGTACAGCTGGCCTGGAAACAGCTCCTCTGTGTGTGACGTGTGGCTCCCTGTGGCTGTCAGGGGAGGGGACACGGGGGTCTCAGCTCAGGGAGGGGGCAATGCCTTGCTTCTTTGTAAATTCCTATGGATGAACCACACTTCCAGTGACTCTTCTGAGAGCTGCCCGCCCCTGTCATGTACTGCCAGGCCAAGGGGTGCCCCCACATCTGCAATTCTCTGCCTGATGCCAGGGCGAACCTGGGGGAGCCTTGGAGGGCCAGTCCCGGACTCACATGCCAAGCATGCTCCAGCCCTGAGCGCCTCCCCCCAGGCCCAGTACTCACTCTGTGAACACTGACCAGTGGCCAGGAGTGGCCGCCCAGCAGAGTGTCCATGCTGGCTGAGGGCTACACTGTTGGAGAACCCCCCCCCCCCCATTCTGGGCAACATTGCCCCATGCAGTTTCAGGACTGCTGTGCCCACAGCGGGGGCCTCCTCCTCGGGGAGCAGATACAACCCGTGGCCGTCCCGATCTGTGTCCAAGTCCAACCTGCACAGCCCACGAGGGCACAAGGGGTCTTCAATGCCCACTCAGTCCATGCGTGACCAGGCCTGACACCCAGGCCTGATCAGACCGCAGGGGCCTCCAGCACCCAGCACCCAGTCACACAGAGGGAGGTGCTGGGGGGTTGCGGCACCCATGAGGGTACAGGGGGAGGGCACGGGATGAGGGGGCCTCCTTTCCACTCAGAAAGAACACTGGGTGCTGAGTGGCTAATAAGTGAGCCCATACATACTAGCCACATGTGTGTACATGTATGCACACACGCATGCATATGAACATATACATGGACACATGCACACAGCTATGTGCCCATGTACACATTACATGTGCACACTTTTGCACAGTCACATACCTACATGTATGCATATACATGTACACGCATATTCATGGGCATGTGTACACACCCCACACACACTTATTTCTGCATATATGCACACACATGTGTACACATAGCCTGTGCGCCCACACACCTACCGACCCACACACATGCATGTGCGTGCACACCCCCTTCACATGTGTACACATGCCCGTCAGGGCTGGACTTCCTGCAGTAATGTTCGTTTCTTCAACCAGCTGGAGCTGCACCTGAAGGAGAAGCAGGAGGATATCGGGGTCCACTGGTCCTTTGTCTGCGCCCCAGAGCTGGCCATCAGCGTGCAGCCCGTGACCCTGGAGGTGAGTCATGAGTCTGGTGGTTCCTCCTTTCCTGGAGAAGGCATGCGGGGGGGCACCCGAGGCCGGCCCCTCTGGGCAGGTGTCTCCCAAGGTGATCTTCCTTTCTCATAGCCCAACTTGGCCCACAGGGCCTTTGTGGCCGGGGGGCCAGGGCCAGGGCAGGTTGTGTGGCACCATGGGTCTGTTCCCTGGAACATTCCAGATCCCTGACAGCCCTGCTCTGCCTCTCCGAGCCTGCTGCAGCCCACTGCACCCACACTGCTCGTCTAGCCACGGGGACTTCCCTCAGGAGGGCCACTTACTAACTGCCACGGGTCGCTTCAGGGCCAGAAAGACAGGCCAGCACAGTCAGTCGGGAACTCTCCTTGCACATGGCCAACCTGGGATCAGTCCCCTGAGCCCCGTCAGAACAGGCACAGAGCCAGGGGTCAGCACAGTGGGGAGGGCACCTGCCTGGGTTCTGGCCCACACCTCGCATGGTTCCTCTCCAAGCACTGCCCGGAGAGATGTCTGAGTGCAGAGCCCAGAGTGACCCCTGAGCACTCCTGGGTGAGGCCCCAAAATAAACAAACAAACAAAACTTACAAAAAAAAAAAAGTTAGCCTTGAGCACAGCTGGGTGTGGCCCCAAGCCAAACAAAAAGTCATCTCAGTTTTTTTTTTCTTTTTGGGTCACACCTGGCAAAGCGCAGGGGTTACTCCTGGTTCTGCACTCAGGAATTACCCCTGGCAGTGCTCAGGGGACCATATGGGATGCTGGGAATCGAACCCGGGTCGGCCGCGTGCAAGGCAAACTCCCTACCCACTGTGCTATCGCTCCAGCCCCAGCATCTCATTTTTCAAGGCCTCTTCGCACAGGTGATTTCACAGTGACTAAGTCTGAGTGAAGAGCCATTCCTCTAGCTTGGACACACACATGCACATGCACAAGTACACATTCACGCCCACACACGCGCTCACACACACACATCTATGCATACACATGAATGCACATATACACGCACTCACGCACATGCATGCTTACGCACACACACACACACACGCACACGCTGTGGGTTTTCTCTCACCTCTGGCTTGTCCAGCTGACAAACACTTAGCTGCATGTCCAGGCTGACCGCACTGTTGCGTGTCCAGCTGGTCCTGCTCATGGCTGTGTGACCGGGTCCCCACCCCCACCGACAGGCCACTGTTCAGGCAAAGTTCATGAACCATCGATTGGGCAGACCCAGGGCATGAGCAGCTGGTCCTGGTTCTGGGTTCAGGTAACCCAGATCGCAGGCTGGGGCCTGTGTCACATGACCATCCGGCTCCGGGGTCCAGCCCGTCCATGCAGAGTGTCAGGGCTGCTTCTGATCTGCTTCCAGCATCTGTCGGCTGTTCCTGGCCACCTGCATCCCTCACACGTCAGCTGCCGCTTCTGTTTCTGTCCCTCCCGGCGTCCTCCGCATGAGCCCCCTCGTGCCCTCCTCAAGCGTGCTCTGCATCCCTCCCCCCATGCCCCTTGCTGTCTCCCCTGAGAAGCAGTTCTGGGGATGCCTGTGGACCTATGACAGAGCTGGGGCCGCCCCGTCCCGGGCCCCAGGTGTCGAAGGTTGGAGGGGCCTGGCAGGGAGCAGCCCAGACCCAGCCTGCATCTCTTGAGGGGGGTAGCTCTGGTTTGGACAGACACACAGAACTGGGTGGCCCTTCTCCCTAACACATGTAAGTGGAACCGGGGGTCGGGTCCTGGGCCCTGCTTGCCAGGCAGGTGATTGGTTTAAATTACATTTTCTTATGAATTGTTTATTCGAGGGCCATCCCGACTGGGGCTCAGGGGCTGGACAGCCTGGCAGAGCCTCTGTGGTGCCAGGGACTGAACTGCGGTCGCCACGTACACGGCCAGTGCCTTAACCTCTGTGCCATCAGTGCCAAGACCAGATTTTACTGATGGGGTACTTGTTTTTTTATTGGGTTTTTTTTTTTTTTTTTGCTTTTTGGGTCACACCCGGCGATGCTCAGGGGTTACTTCTGGCTCTGCACTCAGGAATTATTCCTGACAGTGCTTGGGGGACCATATGGGATGCTGGGAATCGAACCCGGGTCAGTCACGTGCAAGGCAAACGCCCTCCCCGCTGTGCTATCGCTCCAGCCCTATTACTGGTTTTTATTTTGAGCTCATACCCAGCTGCGCTTAGGCTGCTTCTGGTTCTGTGCCCAGAAGTGACCTGTGGTGGTGTTTGGGCACCGTATATGGTCTGCCACGTTCCGCGTAAGCACCATGAACCCCCGACTGGCTGCAGCTCCTCTGCTTAGTTTTGGGGAGACGGCTTGGGTCTACCCTCAGTGGTGCTTTGAGGGCTCTTCTTGGTTTTATATTCAGAAGTTACTCATGGAGTCCAGTAGGGAGGGCACTTGCCTCCCACGTGGTTGACCCAGGTTTGATCCCCAGCATCCCATAGGGTCCCGTCCCCCATCCCCATTGGGATTAACCTCTGAGCATCACTGCTTGTGACCCCAAAACTAAAAAAAGAAAAAAAGAAAAAAGAAAGAAAAAAACAGAAGTGACCCCTGGCTGTGCTGAGACTGTATGAATGGGGGTCAGACCGGAGCGGGTGCCTGACCCCCAAACTGTCTTTCCGAGCAACATCAGGGGTCTTGCCCTGAACCAGCCCCGGCTCTGGCCTTCATGTCTTCATTCTCTTTCTCTCTCTCTTTTTTTTTTCTTGTGTTTTCATGAACTTCAGTATTTTAAATTTTTTAAAATGTCTAGTGTTTGGTGCTAGAGAGATAGCACAGCAGGTAGGGCGTTTGCCTTGCACGCTGCCAACCCAGGTTCAATTCCCAGCATCCCAGATGGTCCCCCGAGCGCCACCAGGAGTAATTCCTGAGTGCAGAGCCAGGAGTCAGCCCAGAGCACATCGAGATAAAGCCCTTTCCCCCATCACCCCAACACCAATGTGTGTGTGTGTGTGTGTGTGTGTGTGTGTATGCGTGTGTGAGTGTGTCTCCCTCCGGTGTCACGTGATAAAGAAAAACATGTATCTGGTGTTTAGGAGAGCAGTGTGGGGGAGGGGGGTGCTGGCCTGCTGGCGATCTGATGCTCTGCCACCTTAAGCAGCAGGACCACGTGACAGTTTCACCACACCCCTCCCTGGCCCTGGGGTCTGCAGTGGACTCTCAGTACATGCGACCTTCTGCCCCTTGTGTTCTCCTGCAGGCAGGTGCCAGCCACACCGAGGCCGTGTCCACACAGCTCAGGGACCTTCTGAGGCAGCTGGTCAGTGCCGCCTCCCCATCCCTGGTTCTGAGCGCCAAGCCCGTGGACGCCAGGGAAGTCCAGGTATGCCTGCCCACTGGGCCTGCCTCCGCCTGCCCCCCCTGCCCTGCCCCCACCTGTCCTGCCCTCGCTGCCCCCCCCTTTGTGAATAGCCCCAGGGTGAGGGATGGGTGGAACTTGAAAGGGCCAGGAACCCAGATCCGGGCTGGATGGGGGCAGTGCTGCCCAGCAGCCATCTTGAGCTCCCCCTTTGGGGTACAGCAACCTGGGGAACTGGTCAGCAGGAGGGTGTCCCAGAGTCCCTCCCCCCCAAATGCCCACGCCCCTCCTCTTGGAGGTTCAAGACTGTGGCAACGCACATATCCCTGAACCCCGAGGAGGGGCCCTGAGCACAGAGACAGGAGGGGCTTGAGCACAGACAGGAGGGGCCCCCAGCACAGAGACAGTAGTGAGCCCCGAGCACAGAGACAGGAGCGAGACCCGAGCACAGAGCCGGGAGTGAACCCCGAGTGCAGAGCTGGTAGTGAGCCCCGAGCGCAGAGCCGGTAGTGAGCCCCGAGCACTGCCTGGGGAGGCCCCACAGCAGAATGACAGAGACTCCCAGGCAGGGCGAGGCGAGGGTGTTGGGTAGGGTGCCCCCTCGAGCCGCTGTCTCCCCGCCCTGCAGAGTCGGCGGCCACCCCCACCTTCCGCGTCGCAGGAGTCCTGCCCGCCCAAGCCGCCCCGCGCCCACGAGCTCAAACTGCAGGTGAAGAACATCTGCGCCTCGTTGCTGTCCGCGCCTGCGCCAGGTGGGGCCCAGCCCAGCTTGCAGTCCCCGACGAGACTGCAGGAATTTGAGGGGGGGGGGGTACCCGCAGCAACCCTGCTCACGGTCTCCCGCTTCTGACCAGCCTCTGCCTGGGATGGGAGCACAGCGGCAGTGCCCAGGTCTCGGGGGGAGGGGGGGGCGGGGAGGTCCGAGGAGCAGCTCAGAGTGAGCTGCCGGGCGGCCCCCTCTTGTACCCACTTCTCCCCTCGAGGGCCCCTGGTGGCCCAGCAGCTGTGGCTCTGGGCTGTGAGCACTGGGCTGTGAGCAGTGAGGGCCGGGTCTGCAGGAAGCACACAGGTGCCCCCTGCCCATGTCTGCCGGTGGGTCCCCCAGTCTGAGTGTCCCACACGCAGTGACCCCGAGCACGGGTGGCAGAGCCCGGGAAAGGCCTTCAGACCAAGACGGGGATGTGGGTAGGACTCAGAGCCCTCCCCAATGCTCAGCAGCCAGCCAGAGCCATGGCGGGGCGTGTGTGTGTGTGTGTGTGTGTGTGTGTGTGTGTGTGTGTGGAGGGGCATGGTCTTGAAGCTGTGACAAAGCCCCTGAAGGGTGCTGGTGCCTGTGTCAGGGCAGGGGGAGGCACAGGTGCAGGAACAGCTGGAGGAGCAAGTGCCCGGGCATAGCAGGGGGTACACCTTAGCCCTAGAGGAGGAGGGGGAGACCGTGGGGAGGGGGAATGACCTGGGGGTGGGGATGTAATGGGGGGAGGGGCGAAACCCGGAGGAAAGGGAGAGACCCAGGGGCCTGGGGGAGACCCCAGGAGAATGTGAGGTTCCAGCACCCAGGTCCCCAGGCCCACCCCTGTCCTTTGCTTCCAGGCAGCCCCAGCCCTCGCTGCATCCTGCAGCTCGACGACCCGTCCCAGAAGTTCTCCAGCACCCTCGCCGCCAACAGCAGAGGCCTCACCTGGGAAGAAGAACTCACCTTGTGGGTACAGGGGTCCCACCGTCATGGGCAGGGGTGCACCATGACCTCGCCCATTAGGGACCACCTGCGGGGAGGCCCCTACCTGAGCTCAGTGGGATCCCTGCCTGGTGTGTGGCATGGGGACCGGGTCCTCTCTGCCACCTCCCTGTCCCTGAGCCTGCGTGCCAGGGAAGCCACCGCTGCGGGCAGAGCAGCAGGGCATGGGGGGCAGTGCCCCTGTCTGCCTGAGAGTGGGCCAAGGGGAGTCTTGGGGGGCATGGATGAGGAGGTGACACGGTGACAGCAGACCAGAGACGCTCACGGCTCACACCTGGTGGGACGACTGGTCTCAGGGAAACCTGCTGGGGACGGGGGGCAGAGGAGCGAATAATGTTCCATGTACAGACCCTGGGAGGTGCTCCAGAGACTGAGTCCCTGGTCCTGACGTCAAACATCTTAATTAGAGCAAGATCTCTGAGTGCTTCTTTAGGGGACAGATCAGGGCCAGGGAGACAGGTAGCACAAGAGCTAAGGTGCCTGCCTTACATGTGACCACTACTGCTTCATCCTGACACCCCGTACAGTCCCCTGAGAAACCGGGAAGTGATCCCTGAGCACTGAGTCAGGACTTAGCCCCGAGCATTGCCAGGCGTGGCCCAAAGCTCTTCCCCAAAGGAAGATGAATCACTCTAGGTCATACATTCCAGACACAGGCCTTCTTAAATGAGATAAGGGTGCCCACTGTTTTGTCATACACGTGGTGGTTCAGGGGGCTGGAGCGATAGCACAGTGGGGTGGGCACTTGCCTTGCACGCAACTGACCTGGGTTCGATCCCTGGCATCCCATAGGGTCCCTGAGCACTGCCAGGAGTAATTCCTGAGTGCAGAATCAGGAGTAACCCCTGAGCATCGCTGGGTGTGACCCAAAGAGCAAAACAAACAAGTGGTAGCCAGTGCAACTCCATATGAAAAAGAAAGGATGGGAAAGTAGGACTCGTCATGGCCTGGAGGTCTTAGAAGCTTAGAGAGAATCAGAGAGTTACAGTAATGATGGAAATAAGGAATAGAGAAGCCAATCAAATTAAGTGAGGAGACAAGTTTCAGAATTCAGTTGTTTCCTGGTACTTAAATAAGAAGACAACGGAATGGAAGAAAGTGCTCGGGGCGGGGACGGGGACGGGGGTAGGAAGAGCTTTGTGAGCAAAGTAATGACAGCAGATGGGCACTTCTTAGGAAACTGGCACCAGTTCTGAATTCAAGACTCGCAGGTGAGAAGTGTAGAGAAACTTGTGATGAGACGTCAGAGATGATGCAGTGCGTGAGCTTAAGCTAGAGGTTGTTTCCCGCCTCACGGATGGGGCGAGGGAGAGAGGAAAGGCTGCCGAGCTGCTGTGTGTCGGGACCCCATTCTGGGAGAGAAATCTCTCTTACCCTATCACTGCCCTATCGTGGTATCCGTGCAGTGATAGGCCCCGAGATATTTGGCAGGTCTTATGCCAAACAGTTTTTGCAAAAAGGGTATGGCCACTGAGTGACACTTTAAAAAGAAATTTTTGTGTGCCACTATTATTGAAAACAAAACAAAAATCACAATTGTGAACTATGACCTCGGGGCTGCTTGCTTAGGCACCAGCTACAGAAGCCCCTGCCCCCCAGCCTCACCCCCAGCCATCTAGGATGCTACCAGGTGCCCCTTAGAAAGAGAGGGCAGGGCTGGAGTAATAGCGCAGCGGGTAGGGCATTTGCCTTGCATGCAACCCTGGTTCCATCCTCAGCATTCCATATGGTCCCCTGAGCACCACCAGGCGTAATTCCTGAGTGCAGAGCCAGGATTAATTCCTGAGCATTGCTGGGTGTGACCTAAAAGCCAAAAAAAAAAAAAAAAAAAAAAAGAAGAAGAAGAAGAAGAGTCTCGCTACTGGCACAGAGACATGCATGTCTCTTAGTGGACACAGCTTGTAACAGAGATAGAGCTCAGCTCACTGGCGTTTCGCTTTTTTTTTTACATCACTATAAGCTGCCCTCCTTAATCCAGGAACTACTCACCAGGGGAAGTTCATTTCACTAGTGAAACAGCAAAATCCAGTGTTTCTGTCTGCACAGCCCCATGCCAAGTTCTCAGTGACCTCACATGGCTTGAGGCCATGGGAGTTGATTCACGAACACAACATCTTTTCAGCATCTCCCAGAAAGTTCTGTTGAGTAGTTTCTGGGAGACACGGCTGAAGAGATGTGCAGGGCAGGTGTCGGCAGGTGTGGAGTTTGGGGTTATAAATCTGCTTCCTTAGCCCTGGTGATTTGTGTTTATTTCCCATAGTGAGTTGAACGCCAAGTCGAAGGAGTTGCACCTCCAGATTTCAGAGGATGGGAGATCCTCAGAAGGTGGGTGTCCGGTGGGGGGCAGGTACCTGGGTCAGCCGGGGAGGTGGGTGGGCAGGGTCAGGCCCTGATGAGTGCCCTCACCCTCATCCTTCCTGGATCTTCGCTACCGAGTATTGAGGTGAAAGTCCACCCCCTTATTTACAAAGCCGAACATTCTGGGAAAGTTTATTTAACTGGTGCTCTGGATAGTTTGCTTTAAAAACAAATAACCTACAGCTCTTCCAACAATTCTGGACTTGAAGAAGCTGTCCTCAACCCTCTCCCCACAGTCAGCCTATTTTTAAAGGGAAATCAGCCGTGGTAAATCCATTAACAAAATTGGCCCTCATCACTGTTACGTCACACTGGGGGTATGAGGCCCATTCCTGCTTGGTGCCCCCGGCCCCATCACCGGGACCTGCTGCCCCCCTGCTCTGCCCTGTCGCCTGGTCAGCCCCGCGTCCCTGGCATCCAGCCGGCTTTTTCTTGTCAGCGACCGAGGGTCTAGGTCCAAGGAAGCGGCAGTTTGGCCGGAAGCTGCATGGGGACCATGGGGACGTGCGCGTGTGTGACGGCAGCTGAGGGCTTCGATTTTTAAACCCCCTGAGTCCTGATCCGTCAGGACGGGGCCCTTGCGCGTCTCTCCAGCACTGAGGCCAGCGGGCTTACAAGAAGGCCAGTGTCTGGCTAAGCAGAGTAGGGAGTCTGAGTCTGGGTTCCAGGGGTTGTAGGCTGGGCTGGGAGAAGCAGAAGCTCCAGGAGAGATACTGGTGTCCCAGAGAGAGACGCTCCAGGTACCAGCGCCCAGCATTGTGGGGCCAGTGTGCCAGCCTTCCTTAATTCCTGTGTCCTCGCCTGCGCTCTTACCCGCCCACTGTCCCCCAGGCTGGCGCTGGCCACACCCAGCACACAGACACACCACACAGAATGTGCACACGTACAACACAGACACATAGCACATGGTAAGCAAGCACACAACCCAGATGCAGGCACACAAAACTGCAGATAGCATGCGTGTGTGAACATAACACCCCAGCACGTGCAGACTGCAGCACGCATGCAGGCACTGAACACGTGTGCACTTGACACACGCCTGTTACATGCACACAACATAGTATACAGTACGTGCCCCCAGGACACCCCCGCAGGCTCTCCCACACACTGGTCTTCCTGATGGGGGGTGGGCGAGTGTTCCCAGGATGAGGCTTCTCCCTTCGGGCACAGTCCCCGCTGTCCTCCGGGCCACCCACCCTGCCCCCACCTCCCAGCTCCCCCTCTGTCTCCTGGCGCTGTTTGTTCACCGATTCGACATTGCCGAGGAATGGGGCAGGTCCAGTTTTCCACGCGTGGGCCGGTACAGTCCTGTGTCCTGTCTTGCAGCACTGTTGGTGGCCACCACCGTCCCCCTGGACTTATTCAAGAAACAGCCTTCAGGGCCCCAGAGCTTCCCACTGACCTCCCTGGATGGTGCCGTGCTGGGTTCCGTCTCCGCGGAGGTAGGCCATGTCCACCAGCTGGGGGAGGAGGGATGTGTCCTCCCTTGCGTCCCTCGGGGTGACCCTGGCGGCCGCAGAGGGCTCCCCGCAGAGGGCTCCCTGCTGAGCGCGGTTGGGCCTGGTTCCGGGTGGCCTCAGCCCTGGGAAGCATTTCCCGGGCCCTTCCCATGGGATAGGCCCAGCCCTGGGCTGCCCGCAAGCGTTCCCGCGCGAGCTGGGACAGGGGAACGGGCAGTGGGTGTCCACTCACCTGATGACAGAGATGGACAGTCAGGGCTAGCGCAAAGGAGGGGGCAGGGCTTGCTGGGGTGGGCGGAGCAGAGGTGGGTAGAGCTGTGGGTGGGCAGTGCAGGGTGGGGACGGGGCCTGGAGGGCAGGGGATGGGCGGAGCCTGTGGGCAGGTGTGGGGTTCCGGTGGGCAGGGGGCGGGATCCTAGTGGGCAGGGAGGGGCCCTGGTGGGTGGGGGGGCGGGGGCTTTGTGGGCAGGGTGGGGGCGGGGGGATGGGCAGAGTAGGGGCGGGCCGGTGGGCATGGTGGGGGCAGGGCTTGGTGGACGGGGGAGGGGCCCTTGAGGACAGGGGGCGGGGCTTGGTGGGCAGGGTGGGGGCGGGGCTTGGTGGGCAGGGTGGAGTGGTCGGGCAGGGCCTGACGTGGCCTGGGTGGACTTGTCCAGGGAACTCAGCCCCTGACTTCTCCGCAGTTTTCTTATGTAGAACCCGGCGAGGCCAAAACCTGGACCTTCCCCGTGCCGGTCCCGGCCACTACGGTGGAGAAGGACCGCATGGTGATGCCCTGCGGCACCGTGGTCACCACAGTCACCGCCGTGAAGACCAAGCCTCGCTTTGAAACCGGCCGTGCGTCCCCGCCCAGCTCGGGTGAGATGTGTGCCAGGCTGCCGGGGATTCGCCAAGCCCCCCAGCCTGAGCAGCTGAACTCGGCTAGCAGACAGCGTCTGTCTCCTGCCCCCTGCCCCTGTGCCCACAGATGAGCCCAGGGTGCCAGAGTCCCAGGGGCCGGACCATAGGGAGCTGGGGGAGGTCACGCCCAGCGCTGTCCAGGTCTCAGGGCTGTCAGGGCTAGGGCAGGGCTCTCTCCGACCACCTGAAATTAAAACCCTTAAAATCAGTAAAAGTCAGCTTCCAGCCAGACCTGGTCCATTTCAAGGAGGGGTGACAGGGACCGGGGCTCTGAGGCGGGAGGGCCAGGCTCACCACCCTCCCTCTGTCCCCCAGCCTCGCCCCTGAGGACACCCGTCAGGGTCAGGGTGATCGAGAAGGACATCTCCGTGCAGGCCGTGGCAGGCCCCCGTGCACCGGTCAGCAAGACGCTGTCCTCCTCAGACACAGGTGCGAAGCTTCCTGACCCCAGCCCTGCCCCAGTGTGGGGGTCTGAGTGCTTTAAGCATGCCCCCTGCGCTGTGGCCCATCTTCAGGGTCACCGCAGCAGTGGTGACGGCTGTGGGGCTCAGTGGGAGGAGCCTGGGACGTGCCTCAGACCCCAGCCTCCTGTCCCCTGGTACCGCCCCTTGCCAAGGCCTTAGGGGTCCCTGGGGTCCGGAAGCTGCTGACTCTCCCCTCCCCCCTACCCCCCAGAGCTGCTGGCACTGAGTGGCTCAGACCCTGTGGCAGAAGCGGCCATCCGGCAGCTCAGCGAGGCCTCTCGGCTGAAGCTCAGGTCCCCACACAAGAAAAGTACCATCATCATCTCGGGGGTCTCCAAGGTACGGTTGTGCCCCTCCCAGCAGCAGCGCCCCCCTCCCCGGACTGGCCCGAGCATCCGGAGAGTTCCCATAAGCCTGGGCTCAGGCTGGTCCCTCCCACGCGGGGCAGAAGCTACTCCTCACTCCCTGGCTGGGGCACCCTCTTTCCTCCTAGCCCCCGGAGGTGCACCCAGGCAGGAGACGGGGGGTGGGGCCGGGTGAGGAGGAGACAGGGGGTGGCAGGGGAAGGTGAAAGGTGGGTTTGTGCTTGTGGGGCCCCCGAAAGGTAGGCTGGGGGTGTCCAGAGATCATGCCGCGAACCCGCCCCTCCCCTCCACTGCTGGAATTAGCCCAGAATGATCATGGGAAGTCCCAGGACCCAGCTGGGCAGGAAGTGGCGCTTCCCTGGGTGCACTTACTGTGTCCAGCAGCCCAGGGCACTGACGGGATAGGGCAGGAATGAGTTTCCTTAGGTTTTGGGGATGTGCAGAAGCTACACGGGGCCTCCCTGAACCCCCTCCCAACCCTCTGCCATTCTCCCAGGGTTGTGTGTATCCTAGCATTCCCCACTCCAGCCGTGCGGACACAAACACACCACACACACATACACACACATACACACACACACACACCACATGCACACACCACACACGCTCTTTCTCTCTCCCTCTCACCCTCTCCCTCTCTCTCTCCCTCTCTCCTCTCTCCTTCTCTCCCTCCCTCTCTCCCTCTCTCCCTCTATCTCTCCCTCTCTCTCCCTCTCTCACTTTCCCTCTCTTTCCCTCTCTCCTTCTCTCCCTCCCTCTCTCCAACTCCCTCCCTCCCTCTCTCTCTCCATTTTCTTCTATCTCTCCCTCTCCCTCTATCTCTCCCCCTCCCTCTCTCCCTCCCTCCCTCTCTCTCTCCCTCTCCCTCTCTCCCTCTATCTCTCTCTCTCTCCCTCTCCCCCTCTCCCTCTATCTCTCCCTCTCCCTTTCTCTCCCTCTCTCTTCCCCTCTCCCTCCCTCCTCTCTGTCTCTGTCTCTGTCTCTGTCTCTGTCTCTCTCTCTCTCTCTCTCCCACTCTCTGTCTCCTTCCCCTTCTCCCTCTCTCTCCCTCTCCCATCATAGCTCCTGCCACCAGCTCCCTCTGCTCCCGCTTGAGTCCCCAGCTGGGAAAGCACTCATGTCCCTTGCCAGGTGCCCCCTCGGTCCCGCTGGGTGGGTGTGGGCCTCGGGGGACAGGAAACTTCTGTTGCCCTCAGAGCAGATGTGAAGAGTACACAGAGGCTCGGCTGCCCCCTGTCCCATGCCCGCATGCTGTCCCCGCACCCGGGGCGTGCCCACTCCCTGCCCATCTCCCCTGCCCACGGCCAGACCAGGTGGGGCGGAGGGGCCAAACGCTGCTCCCGCTCCCCCCGGCAGCCTGCCGGCATCGCCCACCCTGACTGCTGCCAGGCCTTGCCCTGCAGGACCCCCCCTCACTGTCCACTCTCCCCCAGACCTCTCTATCTCAGGACAGCGAGGCCACCCTCATGCTGGAGTATGCCGCGTCCATGGACGGCGCCCGCCAGGAGTCCGGCCCGGTCCTCCCGGGGGCCACCACCACCCAGGACTCACCTGAGGGAGCCACCCTGGTCCCAGCCCCGCCGTCACCCGCCATCTGAACCCTCTGAGGCCACCATTACCGAGCTCGACTCCCGGCACCCCGAGAAGGACCTTCCAGCAGCAGCGTGGGATGGCCGGGCCCCCCTGGATTCCGAGAGGGACCGGATCTCTGAGAGCTCTCTGAGTGTCTCCGAGCCAGACGCCCCCAAGAAGCATAAAGGTACCACCCAACCCTTACAGCACTGGGCTCCTGGGCCTTCAGCCATGGGTGCCTGTCCATGGCAGAACCTTCCAGAACACAGTGGGCAGCCCCCAGGAGCCCCTGCAGAGCGTCTCTTTGGGGGAGGCATCACGGTTTGACCCCTAGTGACCCCCAGCCCTCACCTCACGGCCCTCCTGGCTGAACATCACTCTGGTGGGCCCCGAGCCCCCAGCACTGCTGGGAGACCCCAAACAACGAAGGCCACTGCAGGGACCTAGCGCAGGGACACAGCGTCAGGGACACGGGGGTCGCTCAAACCATGCTCCAGGCTGTGGGCAGGGGCTCCCCAGGAGCCACCCACACCCCACGGTGCAGGCTACTGGCGCGGGCTCTCAGACCCTGCCCCCGAGCGTATGGACGGTAGGGCCCTGGGCGGGGGGGGGGGGGGGGGGGAGGGCAGGGCTGCTCAGAGGCCACTGCCCAGCCACTTGGCTCTGGCCGCGACCAGGCTCCAGCGGGGACTCTGGCACCCAGTGACACTGGCTGGCTGGCACCATCAGGCTTCCCGGCCACAACTGACCCAGAACTGATCCGGGTCGGGAGAGCAGCAGGCGTGGTCCCATGGCCAGCCTCAAAACCCCCGTAATGTCTGCGCCTTCCCCCCCCCCCCAAGCCGTGTCTCATCCGTCTTGTCTCTTGTCTCCCCCTTGGAGGGCTGAGGAGGAGGCTCAGAGGCCAGACTGCAAATTAGAGAAGACAGAAGGGAGGAGGCCGGGGGTTGGCCCACCCCTGAGGGGTGTGCCCTGGCCCGCCCTGGCTGGGGGAGTGTCTGACTGAGCCCAGTGTTTGGGGGGGGCACTGCCCTGCCCCCTCCCAGTGCTCCTCCCCGGGGCCCCCCAGCTCCTGCAGTGGCAGGATCCTGCAGGCTGTCCCTGCTTGAGGCCTCCTGGAGCCTCTGCCCTGCCTGCGTAGGGCCAGTGTGGTTCCACTACTCCCAGCCCAGCAGGATGGGATGTGGGGGAGAGTGGCCGCCACACTTAAGGGGAGGGAGGGACAGTCCAGGAGGAAAGGCACTGCATTTGAATGTGGCCAACCCAGCCTCAATCCCCGGCACTGCTGAAGGCCCCTGAGCCTTCCAGGACTGATCCCTGAGCACAAAGCCAGGAGTCAGCCTTCAGCACAGAGCCGGAAGTCATCCCTGAGCACAGAGCCGGGAGTGAACCCTGAGCACAGAGCCAGGAATGAGCCCTGAGCACAGAGCCATGAGTCAGCCCTGAGCATAGAGCCGGGAGTGAGCCCTGAGCACAGTGCCAGGAATGAGCCCTGAGCACAAAGCCGGGAGTCTGCCCTGAGCACAGAGCCAGGAGTCCGCCCTGAGCACAGAGCCAGGAATGAGCCCTGAGCACAGAGCCAGGAGTCAGCCCTGAGCACAGAGCCAGGAGTCTGCCCTGAGCACAGGGCCGGGAGTCTGCCCTGAGCACAGGGCTGGGAGTCAGCCCTGAGCACAGCCAGCCATGGCCTTGAACAGAAGCAGAGTCAGAGCCGTCAGTGTCTTGTGGGAGCAGGGGGTGCCCGGCCCTGTGGCTCTGCCGTGTGGCGAGGTTCTGGCCGTGCTGAGTGCCCGGCTAGGGTCAGCCTCAGAAGGGGCTTGATGAACACAAGGCCCCGGGAGGGAGACGCCAAGCCCCGAGAACCCTGCTGGGGACACGTCAGAACAAAGACCCTCTGTCTGCTGCCACCCGAGGAAGCATGGGATGGGCGAGGCATGGGGAAGGGCAGCCTGTGGGCGCACTGTATGGCAATGTGTGGGTGTGCCCGTGTGATGCACACATGCGGTCACGTGCTGGCCTCTGTGCCTGTGTGTTGCGTGTGAATGCATGTGGATGCTGTGCACACACATGTGTGCTGCGTGTGGCCGTCCTGGTCCAAGCTCTCACCAGCCTCCTTCTTACCTGTCTCCGCTCTCTGCCTCCCTCCTCCGGCACTCGCTTCCTTTACTAAGAGGATCGCTATGCCAACCAGAATTAACTGCCTGCACAGTAAGTTATTTTTGTCTTCTATGTCTCACAAACCCTAATGCTGCCTTCCGCTCGGAGATGCACGGTACCCCTCAGCAGGGAGCCAGGTGCTTTTCTCCCGCGTCCTACTGAGTCACCTTCCCGGCTCCCCAGGTGCCCTAGCTGGGGTTGGCCACCCCCCTCCCCCCAGCACCCGCCTTCCTGTCTCCCTGAGCGTCTGGGTGGGCTGAGCCACCATCTGAGGAGGCTGCCTGAGTATGGCTCTCTCTCTCTTTCCCTCTCTCTCTCCCTCTCCCTCTTTCTCCCTCCCTCTCTCTCCCTTTCCCTCCCCCCTCTCCCTCTCCCTCTCTCCCTTTCTCTCTCCCTCTCTCTCTTTCCATCTTTCTCTCCCTCTCTCTCCTTCTCTCTCTCCCTCTCTCCCTCTTTCCGTCTTTCCCTCCATCTTCCTCTCTCCCTCTCTCCCTTTCTACCTCTCCCTCTCTCTCCCTCTCTCTCCCTCTCCCCCTTTTTCTCTCCCCCTCTCTCTCTCTTTCTTTCTCTCTTTCCCTCTTTTCTCCCTCTCTCTCCCTCTCTCCCTCTTTCCGTCTTTCCCTCCATCTTCCTCTCTCCCTCTCTCTCCCTTTCTACCTCTCCCTCTCTCTCCCTCTCCCCCTTTTTCTCTCCCCCTCTCTCTCTCTTCCTTTCTCTCTTTCCCTCTTTTCTCCCTCTCTCTCTCTCTCTCCCTCTCTCACACTCTCCCTCTCTCCCCCACAGGGCTGCTGGCACCTGCGGGGCCGGTGATGGCAGGAATGAGTTCAGCACGCTTGCAGCTTTCTGTCTGTCTTCGCATCCCTCTCTATCTGCTCATTCTTCCTGCTGCTCTTCCAGCCTTGCTGGAACCCAGAGCGAGTCTCTTCCCTCCCTGCTCCCATCTCAGTGCCTGGTGGTCTCAGAGCATTGGCCGGTCTCCTGGGACTGGCTGCAGGCGCCCTCAGAGCATGCTGCTCTGAGCATGTCAGCCCAGATAGACTCGGTCTCACCGGAGGCCCAGGAATGGCTGAGAAATGAGGGCTGTGTGGGCCGGGATGGCTGGGCTGTCCCTCTGGGCCCAGACCCTGGGCTGACCATGCCGCTGGGACTTGGACAGCCCCTCCTGCCAGGCCCTGGAGGAAGGCGGGGGTGGACTGCAGTCACGTCCACCCCACACCCTGACCACGTCCCAGGGGCTCACAGAGGGACTGTTTCCCCCCGCTGGAGACCGGGAAGGCCAGTTCCGAGCTGGGACATGACTGGGCTTCATGGGGGCCCCTGATACACAGAGGCCTTCATCCTCTGCCCTGGCCTCTGCCCCTTGCACCTGGCGTCCACCCATACACGTGTCCATTTCCCCTGCACCAGCTCCAGGCCTGACCCCTTGCCCACTGGTAAGACCCTCTCTGAGGTCACATTCTGTGCCACTGGGGGATCAGACTATGACCTAGGTGTCGGGAGGGACCTCACGGCCCCTCCATGACCCTGCCCCCACTCGGACCTGGTGCCTGGGCTCGCGGGGGGGGGCTAGCGGCTGCCCCCTCCCTGCCATGAACGCTGGGCTGGGGGGACACTGGGGCCACTGGCCAGGTCAACCTCTTGGATTCTCCGCTTCTCCCACGTCCGCTGCTGAGTGGGGGTGCCTTGGCCACCAGGCTTTTCGGGGTCGGTGGGGCTGGCCTGCAGCAGGGGGTTGGGAAGGATGTGTGTGGCCGCAGAGATGGGGGTCAGGGCAGGAACAGCAGAGACAGGCCCTCGGCCTCCTATTCCTTCCCCGTGGGGACCCCAGCACCCCGCAGACAGCGTCCTCCTGAGTGCTTGTCTGGGTCCAGCAGGCCACCGCTGTCCCTCCCTACTGGGCACTGCCCCCTGGCCCACCTGGACCCGTAGCTTGATTTCTGGGCTTCCTGCAGGGCCCTGGTGCGGAAGGGCGCGCGTGTGTGTGGGGGGGGGGGGGGTGTTACCATCCTGGGGTGGTCAGGCAGTCTGGCCACACCTGGGCCACGTCAGCTGTGAAGTGCAGAACAATGCCCAGTGTCCACTGCCTTTCCCCTCTGCCGTCCACGGGTGGGTGAAGCTCCTGCAGCAGGTGCATCCCCGAGGGCTCCCTGTCGCCTCCCCCAGGGGGCTGGCCTGGCCCGAATCCACGGGGTGGCAGTTGCTGGGTGCAACCTTTGCCCCCCCCCGGCCCTGCCTGTGATGGGGTGGTCAGGCCGAGAAGAGCTTCCCCCTGGGATGGACACTCGTGGGCTCGGCTTGTCTGTGTGCCATGGCTGCCATGGTTCTCAGTCTGTTGTGTTCACCCCCAGGACCAGCCCCTCTAAGGAGGTCGGCCCGCTGCCATTTGGACAGCTCGGAGGTCAGCTGAGACAGGGCTGGCAGGATGACCCAGTGTAGCGCACTGGCCTTGCCTGCTGCCAACCCCGACCCATCCCAGCACCGCCGAGCATTCCCCCCCCCCAGCCCCGTCCTGAGCACAGAGCCAGGAGTCATCCCTGAGCACTGCTGGGAGTGGCCCCAAGCATAGAGAGCTGTCACAGGCTGGTCCAGGCCCTGTCCCTCTGTCCATCTGTCTCTCGGCCCCGGGCTACCCTTCTCTTCCCCCTGTGGCCCTGACCCATGCTTGTCCTTGCAGGAGGAATCTTCCGGAAAAGCGCCAAGCTGTTATTCCGCCGGCGGCACGCACACCGGGAGCCAGGTATGAGCCAGTCCCACCACGACCTGGCGTCCCTGCAGCCCGAGGGCACTCGCAGGCGGGGGGCCACCCTGGGCCGCCTCCTCAACAGGAAGCTTCTGTCCCGGCACAAGAGCAAGAGCACCGTGAACGGAGGCTCGGCAGAGCCCTGCGCCTAGCGCCCACCCCGCACCCCTCATACCCGTTCCCGTGGGCAGTGGCTCCTGCAGTGCCCACGGCCACCGAGTTTCACAGGAGAGTCCGCCTGAACTGGAGAACATTCTAGCGAGGGTCGGGGACCAGTGGCCGGGCGGCGACTTGGCCTCGAGGGATATTGTCGTTGGGGGTCCACGCTGGGCCCTCATGAAGAGGCGGCTTCCTCTCTGCCATCACTGTGAGCCACATACTGTGCTGGGGCGTCCTCTTCTGGGGTGGGGGCCGGGTGCCCCACGGACGCCCCAAGCCTTTGACACTGCAGCAGCTTCTGCACACACCACGCAGCACTTTGCTGGGGCCCCTCCCCAGGATCCTACGCCTCTCGGCGGCGGCGTGGGCCCTTGGGACCCCCACAGGGCAGCCTGTGCCCCGCTGGGCTTCCCCGGCCCCCAGGGAGCTGCCTTGGAGATAGGGAGGCCAGGCGGGAGGACGTGATGGAAGACATCTGTCTTGTTCCCCCCCCCCCCCCCGCACCCCTGCTCGGAGCTACAGTGAATGAGACCTATCCCATCTGGGGATTCGGGGGTCCAGGGGACAGTGAGAAAGGGGTTCTCAGTGCACACTACGACTACGACCGCGGGGGACAGTGTTCACTTGGAATGGGCTGGCAGTCACTGAGGGTCTTCAGAGCTGGTGTGGACCCTGGACTGTGGTTGCAGATGTGAGACCCGATGACTCCCCGCCCAGCTGCCACCTCACTCTCCTGGTTGACCCTTGAGCAGATAATTCAGGGGCCCGGAGCCACTGTGAGCAAGAACATTTGTAAAACCTGAGTAGCAAAGTTTCTTTCTGGGCGGGGTGCAGCTCAGTGGTAGTTTTTCCTTTGCATGCATGGAGCCCTGGGTTTGATCCCCAGCACCCCTCCGCCCATCCCCCAAACCACATTTAAAGGCACATTCAAAACCTCTTAGGTGTCCTGGGAGTGCCCCAGTGATTCTGAAAATGACTCTAACCCCTCACCCCCATACATACAGTTCTAAGAAATTATTTCCCTATTTTAATCATGGAAAACCAGCGCCTGGGCTTCCGAGCTAGAGCCCAAGGCTGTCCCGGCCGCTCACAGGTGAGGGGACACCCAGCCCTGGAGTGTCGGGGACACAGAGAGACTTGGCTGACTTGTGGGAAAGTTTCAGCTTCAGGGGCTCCCCGATCCTGCTGACCCCTGGGCAGCCCGTCCTCGTGAGACGCTATCTGCCAGGGCTCTGCTCTCCCTCCTGGAGGCACCGGAATCCCCATGTCCTGGCAGTGAAGCGGTGAGACGGGCTTTGGGTGCACAGGGAGCACCTGCCTCAGGCCCAGGGTGCTGGTGCGGGAAGACCCACGTGCCTGACGGTCAGCATCCCCGAGGTCAGCCCTCTGTTCAGACCCTTCGCCCCTGGCCCAGCCCCGCCACTCTCTTGCCGAGGGCCTTCCCATTCCTTGGGAGCGCCACTGTGTGTGGCGGGGGGTTGACACCAGGCCTCTAGGGAGGGATGAGATGCAGTTCTCAGTGTGTGTGTGTGTGTGTGTGTGTGCGCGCGCGCGCGCGCGCGTGCAACGCACACAAGTATGTGTGTGAGCGTGCATGCACCCGACTGTGCGTGTGTATTTTCAAGTAGCAATAAGCATGTAGGATCTCACTATGATGGTGAAAACCTGCCGTGAAGAACACGGCTTAGACCGAGCACTTTAGATCTAGTCTCAAGGTGAAGTTCTAAACTAGCCCCGTCCCTGCCCGTGAACACCAACCTCAACAGGCCCCCAGGATGCCCGGCTGCCAGCCAATCCCAGAGCAGCTCTGCTGGCGCCTCCCCAGGGCCGCCCTGGAGACCTCAGAATGCTCACGCTGAGAGGGAGCCATATGCTGGCAGCTCCCGGCCAGGCCCGAGGGGCATGGGTCTCCGGTTGGAAGTGCAAAGCTTCCGCTGCCAGGCGGGCCCGGGGGTGCCAGTTCCTCTCCACAGCTCCCCTGCCCGCCCCCACGCAATCACCAAAGCTCCGGCTCAGGGACGCGGCGCCTACGAACCCGCAAACTCAGGTTCCTGCCCTGCCAGGCATCAAGGAGGCCTCAGAAAGCCAGGCCGTCGGTGCAGGGGCTGCGGGCAGGGTGGGCATTGCGGGACCGACACTGATTGTATTCGCCTTCCTGCCCAGCCGGTCCCCGCGGGGGCCTCTGCGGCAGGGCTGCATGGAATAAAGGTGCCCGTGAACACCAGAGGCTGGGCTGCTTCGTTTCTGCTGCCGACTCGGGCATCGTGAGACCCCTCTGCCGCCTTGCTGTCTTGGGCTCCTGTGCCGCAGGGCTGTTCGAGAAAGCTCACTTCTCAGGCGGAGGAGGTAGGGGGAGTGTGCCAGCCAGGCACCAAGTGGCTTGGGTGCCCCCTTAGTGGGGCAGCACCAGGGGACCCAGCCCTGGTACCATCCCTGTGCCCCACCTGGCCTTGGGAGGGTGGCAGCAGAAGCCACAGACTCCGGGGGGTGGGTCCACAGCCTGCAGGGCTTGGGCATGGACCACGCTTGTCTAGTGGATAGAGGACGCGGTGGGTGGGCAGTGATGGGTCTGCACGCATTGTCTGCCCCACACCTGCACATGGGGATACCGGGCCCATCTCCTGCATCACTGCTGGGCACAGAGGGACAGGCAGCTGGGTCACCCGGAGCCCAGTCTGCTTTGCACTGCAGGAATGTTCTAGTAGATCAAGTCTAAGCCCCCGGCCATGATGCGTGGCCTTGTTGGCAGGGTGAGCTGGGCTTAACATGCTGGGCACTGCTGGGCATGAGAGCCAGGAGGGGGTAGAGAGGACAGCCTCCCCTGCACTGACCCCTACTCAGTGCTCCCTGCTACAGGTAAAGGTAAAGGTAAAGACCAAAGTGAAGGAGGCGCTGGGCAAGACCGCAGGCAGGGGCTGGCTTTGCACATGGCTGACCGGGTTTGATCCCCAGCATCCTGGAGGGTCCTCTGAGCCCTGCCACGAGGGAACCCTCCGTGAGCACAGTCAGTAGTCAGCCTTGAGCACCTATGGATGTGGGAGAGAAAGAGAGAGGGAGAGAGAGGAAAAGAGGGAGAGGGGGAGAGGAGAGGGAAAGAGAAGGAGAGAAGGAAAGGGAGAGAGGAGAGGGAGAGGAAAAGGAGAGAAAGGGAGAGAGGGAGGGAGGGAGAGAGGGAGGGAGAGGGAGAGTGAGAAACTGGGGAGGGGGGTGTCCCATTCTATTACACAGACTCACAGACTCCACCTGGCTCATGCCTGAAGGGCCTAGCCCCACACACAGCTGACAAAGTGCTTTTATAGGTGGGCACAGGTCACACGTTTCTAGGGAAACGTTTTTCACTGAACATACACAATGGTTGCCAACGTAAGGTAAAGGTAAAGGTAAAGGCCCTCCCGTTGATCGTCGATTTGCTCGAGTGGGCCCAGTAACGTCTCTGTTGGAGACTTTGTTGTTACTGTGTCTGGCATATCGAATACTCTCGGTAGCTTGCCGGGCTCTCCGAGAGGGGCGGAGGAATCGAACTCGGGTCGGCCATGTTGGCCGCTTGTAAGGCGAACGCCCTACCGCTGTGCTATCGCTCCAGCGTGGCTCTGATATACTCAATCACTGCTACCAGCAGAGGTTAGATGACTCATATGAAGTTCCGTGTGGACATTTCCGAATTATCTTCCGTGACCCGGGGCCTGGTCCTGACCCTGGGGCAGGGTCTTTGCCTTGCATGAGGCTAACCGGGGTTCGAATCCCAAGGTACCTAAGCCTGCCAGGAGCGATCCCTGAGCACAGAGCCAGGAGTCAGCCCTGGGCACAGTCGGGTGTGGGCCCCTGAAGAAACCGTTTCTAGGATCTCAGGTCTGTTCTGAGAGCAGCCCCAGCCGCTGGGGCTGTTTGCACATCAGGACGTGTAGGGGAAAATGGTGTCTGTTGGCCTCCTGCCCAGCTTCCAGCTCTACCAGCGACCTATTAGTTCTTTGGGTTAAAAAAAAAAAAAAACACAAACCCAAAACCCCTATTTGTGTCACATGAGACAGTGCTCAGAGAACAGCTCATCCTGGGCTGAGGCGATAGCACAGTGGGGAGGGCATTTGCCTTGCACGTGACTGACCCGGTTCGATTCCCAGCATCCCACATGGTTCCTGAACACCACCAGGAGTAATTCCTAAGTGCAAAGCCAGGAGTAACCCCTGTGCAACTGCTGGGTGTGACTCAAAAGGCAAAAAAAAAAAAAAAAAAGAACAGCTCATCCTGGTGCCCAGAGCTCACGCTGCACATCCCACCTGTCCCCCAAGCCCACCAGCAGGATTCCTGAGTTCAGAGCCAGGAGTGAGCTCTGAGCATTGCTGGGCATGACACAAAACCAAAGCAAACAGGTCCCTGAATCCTTTTTGGTTAGGAGTGAGAAGCGAAGCGGGGGGGGGGGGGGGGGGGGGGGGGGAGGCGGGGGGGAGGGAGAATTATGAGGAGTCTCCCTTTCCCTTCACCCGCTAGCCAGTAACCAGGGTGTTGTCTGTGTGAAGGACACCCTCACAGCTGCGGGTCCTCCCGCTGCAGAAACTCCCCAGCCCATGGAAACTGGCTGTAGACTCCGTTCCTTCGCGAGGGAGAACTCTGGAGTCAGGGTAACGCTCCACTAACCCCAGCCGAACCTCTTCAGGTTGGGTGAATTGGAAGAAGTGGCACTCAGCAGTGAGCAGGACGCCTGCACAGATTTGTCTGCTGCTTCTGCATGTTGGGTGTGTGTGTGTGGGGGGGGGGGGGCAGTGAGGGAGGGGGCTGTTCTCAACCACTCTGCCCTGGATACCTATTAACCCCAGTCTTAACAGAAGCTTGTACCCCAACACTGGGCTGTGAAACATTCTCAGTCTCACTTTTGCCAAGTTGGGTACTTCTAAGCCAGTGTGGGGGTGCCTGGGAGGTGGGGTGCACTGCGGCAAACGCCAGGGCAGAGAGAGGGCGTGTGTGGAGCACCCCTCAGGTGCTGCCGCTCACCCAAGTGGCCAAAGGGAGGAGGCACCAGTTGAAAGTCCACCAGCAAGGGAGACACAGGTGGCATCCAAAGTCACAAAAACCATCTCTGACACAGAAATTGTCGTGTGAGTCGTGTGTGTGCATGTGTGTGGCGTGTGGTCACACTCCCCGAAGTGCTCAGAAACCCTCAGTCGGTGCCAAGGTCTGGCGCTGGGGAGGGAGCCCGTCCCGATCAGCCCAGGTGTCTCTACCCGTCCCCTGTCTGCTTCCTGCGCGGTGACTCCAAGTCTGCTCAGAAAGGCCGGCTTCACTGCCCGGCCCGGACCTGAGTCTTGTGGACTCAGGTGGCTCCGAAGAGCGGTTGTGGTCATTCCCTGTGTTCTGTCCGACTTCACTGGGCGGAGGACCGGGCAGCGCCTTCCCCTCAAGCAGAGAAGCCAGGACAGAGGGGACACAGGGCCCTGGCAGCTCCCTGTGGCCTGAGGCACCTGACCTGGAGGTGGGCAGGGGTGGGAGCAAGGCCAGGGGGGGTCTCAGTGGCCTTACCCGGGGCCAGTAGCCTGCAGGGCCGAGTTCAGTTGGGAAGCCCCCACCGGCCCCTCTGCTCTCGCTCGGGGGGCGGGGGAGCTCAGCGCTCGGTGCCCGTTGGCAGGGTGGGCCGGGTTGAGCACGCTGGCACGAGGACCGGGAGGCCCAGGGCAGCGGGCCCCCAGCTGCAGGGCAACTGGGGTTGGGGCCCAGCGCCCTGTGCACCCGGGCTGGACCCGTCCTGTGCACCCGGGCTGGACCCGCTCGGTCCAGCTCCACCGGGCCCCGCGGCCCCCGCCCGCTGCGCCCCGCGCCGTCAGCCGGCGCCAGGGCCCCCAGCACACGCCGCCCGCCTGCCCGCGCCCCGGGAACTACAACTCCCAGCACGCCCCGCGGCCGCCCCCCGGCTTCCGGTGCTGCGCAGTTTCCGGAGCGGATCGCAACCCGGAGTCGGGATCCGAGCCCGCTGTGCACATTCCAGGGGCAGGTAAGGGCCGGCGCCCCCCGCGCCCCCGCCGCGCGCGCGCCCCCCGGCCCGGCCCGGCCGTCGCCGCCCGGTCCTCGGCGCCGCGCCGCCCGCGCCCGCGCCGCCCGCTCCGGCCGCCAGGCCGCCTGTTCTTTGTCGCAGTCGGGCCGCGGGCGCGGCGGGCGGGCGGACCCAAAACCCGGCAGGATTCCCGGAGCGCGCGGGATCGGCCGCGGGGACCCCGCCTCGGCCCGCCGCCCCAGCCCGCGGGGGCCCCCCGCCCGCCCCGCCGCGCCGCGCCCCCGCCCGCCCCCGCCTGCGGGGGTTCCCGTCGCCGGGGGTCCCGCGCGCCCAGGCCCGGCCGCGCCGCGCGCGCGGGGACGCGGGGGCCAGTGGCCGCGGCGCGCACGGGCAGGTGCACGCGGGCCGCGGGCTGGTCCGGGCCGGGTGTCCGCCCCGCCCGGGGCCGCGCGTCGCCCGCCCCCACCCCCGGGGCCGCGGCCGGCACGTGGCCGGGACCCCGCGCGGGGCTCCACGTGCCCGGCGCCCCGGAGGTCGCGCGTCGAGACGGCCCGATGCGGAGAGGCCCGCTCGGTCCGGGCCCGCGCCCCGATTCCTGCGGGCGCCGTCTCCCGGGGGCCCACGCCGGAGGCCTCGGGCCTAGGCGCCTCCCCAGCACGGGGTCGTGGGGCCCAGTCTGGACACTCCCGCTATCAGGTCTTCGCACTGGCAGCGTTGGATGGAGGGAGCGCGCCCCCCCCCCCCCCCCCCGTTGGCGGGAACCGCGCCGCTCTAAGCGGTCCCTCGTTGCAAGCGGGGGTCTCCCTAGCCCGCCTCCCCCCGGCCCGGTAACCAGGGCCCAGCACATGACCAGAGGCCACGGATGGGGGCCACCGTCCCAGGGAACATTCCTTCCCCCCCCCAAGAACATTCTAGTTTCTGCATGGCTGACTGCCTTGGCAAGGCACAGACCCATCTGGGACCCTCAGGGAGTGGTGAGGACCTAGTGCCTCTGCTGGACAAGGAACAGACAGACAGTCAGGCAGACGGGCGAGTTGCTCCCGTCAGAAGTGACCTGCTGAGTTCTGTATTCCCTGTCCCCGCTGGTCTGAGCTGTAGCCTCCCTGACCCCTCATTTCTGTTTGATGTGTGGGTGACCCCGTCCAGCCCCCTCCCCCCCCCCGTGCCCCGCCCCCAAACATGTGCTGGTCCAGACACATGGGGCCTCCTTTCAGGGGAGGGCATGGGCCTGTAATGCTGGAGTGGGGGGTCACTGTGGACAGAGGGCAAGGTCCAAGCCCGGTGTGCCCTCACCACTGGGGCAGGGTGGGGGTGTATGACAGGACCCCTACAGAGCTGGGGGTGTACAACAGGACCCCTACAGAGCCAGGGGTATCCCAGGACCCTTACAGAAGTGGGTTGTGTCCCAGGACCCCTACAGAGCCGGGGTATGTCCCAGGATCCCTACAGAGTGGGGGTATACGACAGGACCCCTACAGAGTGGGAGTGTATCCCAGGACCCCTACAGAGTGGGGGGTGTATGACAGGACCCCTATAGAGTGGGAGTATACAACAGGACCCCTACAGAGCCGGGGGTGTGTCCCAGGACCCCTCCAGAGTGGGGGTGTATCTCAGGACCCCTACAGAGCCGGGGTGTGTCCCAGGATCCCTACAGAGTGGGGGTATACGACAGGACCCCTACAGAGTGGGAGTGTATCCCAGGACCCCTACAGAGTGGAGGTGTATGACAGGACCCCTATAGAGTGGGGGTATACAACGGGACCCCTACAGAGCTGGGGGTGTGTCCCAGGACCCCTCCAGAGTGGGGGTGTATCTCAGGACCCCTCCAGAGCTGGGGTGTATCCCAGGACCCCTACAGATGGGGGTGTGTCTCAGGACCCCTACAGATGGGGGTGTGTCCTAGGACCCTAGGCCCCACAGGAGCCCCCCACAAGGCAGGATGCAGGCTCAGAGCTCAGTGCATGGAAATGAGAGTCCTGAGCCCCCCCCCCCCCCAGCATCTTCAAACAGCCCCTCTGGGCTGGGGGTGTTGCCCTGGCTGGAACCACCTTTCCTGAGTCTTCCCACCAAATTTCCCCCTTCAGCCAGTGCCTCTCTTCTTCCTGCCGTCCGGGGCAGCTGTCGACCTAAGAGTGTGGATCCCTGTGCAGTGGTGTGAGCCTGAGGAGGGGTCTTGGGGTCCCCGTCTCCCGTCCCATCAGCAGGCTCTGCTTGTCGGCCTTGGAGGCGGACCCTAGTACGGGGGTGTGATCCCAAGGAGGAGTCTCGGGGTCCCCCTGCCCCATCTGCTGACTGAGGAGGGAGGTTCCCCTGCTCGCTCTGGGAAACAGACCCCAAAAAGTTGGCTGCCTGGCTCGGGTGGGGCCAAGGGCCCCCAGTTAACCCTGTCCCATGCTGGGGGCCTTTTTGCCCCCACAGACACTGGATTTGCCAGGGCACAGTGAGGATCAGCCTGAGGTTCTGCTCTGCTGAGTTCTTGCTGGTGCGGGAGAAGATGGGCCCTGCTCCTCAGGATGGTCAATCACGGGCCGCCCAGGGCAGGCGCAGCACTGGGCCCAGTGGGGTCAGCACCCCATCAGATGAAAAGGCTTGGGGGACCTGCTGGTGGGGGGACACTGAGTCTGTCCTGAGGCAGGGCAGGGGGCACCGAGGGTTGCACCCACCATGGACAGGAAGGTGTGCAGGAGCCCCAGGGCTGGTTTACAGGGACTGGCCAGAGCCATGCGGGTCTGCATGAGGAGACAGACAGGCCTCCTCAGAAGGGATACGGCAGGATGCGCGTGCGTGTGACTGGCTGAACCTGTCTATGTGCCAGTGTGTGAGAGTGAGAGAAAGTGAGTGTGGGTGTGTGAGTGTATGAGGTACACGGGAGGGTATGTGAGAGTGTATGTGAGTAGAATGGGGTGTGTATGTGTGTGTGTGTGTGTGTGTGTGTGTGTGTTTGAGAGAGTGTGTTTATTTTTTTTCATAGTTTTATTTATTTTTCTTTATTTATTTATTGAATCACTGTGGGAAAAGTTACTAAGCTTTTAGGTTTAAGTCTCGGTCATACAATGATCAAACACCTCTCCCTTCACCAGTACTCATTTTTCACCACCAAGAACCCCAATATACCCCCCTCCTACCCCTCCCAATGCCTGTGTGGCAGATGATTTCCACTTAACTCTTCTCTACATTGATTACATTCATTGTTTCGACAAAAGATGCACCATTATTGTTTAGAATTTCCCCCCCAACAATCAGAATTGCTGAAAAGGCATTGTGAAATACTTTGTTTTCTATAGCTGGTTATGAGAATCATATAATGATATTGGATTTCTGCAAAGAGCCAGATATTTACGAGATTGGTTTCTGTGCATCTGGTGTTATGGCTGTGCCAGAGAGCCACTCATGGGGGGCAACTCGTGACCTCAGTTGGGCATGAAGGATGAGCCGGTACCGCCCCCCTTCCCATGAAACTGCAGTTGCCCCGTCACCGCCAGGCTTTCCAATAAGCTCTGAGGAGGCGGCCACCTTGCTGTGGGCGGGGGGAGGGGGGAGGTGGAAGGGAGCAACACCCTTTCCCTCCCAGGGAGGCATGGCACCGGAGTTTAACGCATGGTCCATTCACTTTTCTGCTGCAAGCTGCTGGGCTCTGGACTAAGTCCTTTTGCCTCTGGAGCCATGGCCGTGCTGGAGAGCCGCTTATGGGGGGCAACTCATGACCTCGGTAGGGCGTGAAGGATAAGCTGGTACCGCCCCCCTTCCCATGAGACTGCAGTTGCCCCGTCACTGCCAGCTCGTACCTGGCTTTCCAATAAGCTCTGAGATGGCAGCCACCTTGTATGCTTTCCAGATGCATTTCTGCCAAAAGCCGCTGGGTTTTGAGATTTGTTTCTGAGTCTCTGGGATCATGGCCATTAATCAGCTTGATCAGGAGTCAGAGAGGCCATTTGTAGGCGGCCATTCAGGGTCTCACAGGGATGGGGAGGAAAGGGCCAGTTCCACCCCCATCTGGTGAGGCTCTGCCTGTCTCGTTACTGCAGGCCCAAACCTGACTGTTCAGCCTCTGGAGGATGGTGGTCACTGGGCTGCCAAGGGGAACAGGCCAAGGCATGAAACCTATTTTCACCTGGAGTGGCCCAGCCCCAGTAACCTACTGCAGGAACCGAACGCATTTCTGCCAAAAGCCTTTGGGTTCCGACATTCATTTCTGAATCTCTGGGATCATGGCCGTTAAGCAGTTCGATCAGGAACCAGAGAGGCCATGCCTCCAATTATATAGCTGAACTGGAGGTGGTTTTTGGGTGTGTCTCAAACCTGACTTTTGGCTGTTTACTTTCTTGGTAAACTTTGCCCCAAGTTTTTGGGGTCTGACTAAAGGCACAGCAGCAATTTTGGGTTATCTGAAAGTCTAACGGTGTCATCAGGCTGCTGATATACTTGCTTCACAGGTACAGATTGACCTGCTGGCGGCACTGTACCCCCGAGAGTGTGTTTAGTGTGAGTGACAGTGTGTGTCAGAGTTGGAGAATGAGTGGGTGTGTGAGGCAGAAGCGTGTGAGTGTGTGTGAGGGTGTGCAGCCTCCTGCAAACACCTTTCTCCTTTGCTTATTATTCGCCACACCAAGCGGTTGCTGGGACTGACTCCTAGCTCCGCACTCAGGGATCACCCCGGTGCTGCTCGGGGCCCCTGTTTAGGGCTGGGGATTGGAACCCAGGACTGCTGTGTACAAGGCAAGAGCCTCTCTTGGTTCACTCGCCTTTGGCCCCTCCTTTGCGTTTTCTTTGCAAGTGTCCTGGAGGTGGCGGGTCGCTGAGCACAGCTCTGTCCTCGAGGTTACAGCTCTGCTGGGAGCGTTTGCCCGGCCTGCGTGGATGACCCGGGTTCCGTCCCCGCACACAAACCAGTCATCACGGTCTTTCCCGTCCCTCCCGCAGAGAGCAAGACGCCGTGGTGGGGACCGAGCCACCGAGCCCCTTTGCATGGCCAGCGGAAGGTCGTGGCTGCCGGAGAAGACTGCTGGCAGCCCCCTGGACTGCTGTGACTGGGGGACAGGGCGGCCGTCCACAGCCTCTGCCCCCTGGGGTGGAAGCCAGCACCTGAGGTACCTGCATGCCCACAGTCACAGCAGCTGCAACATGGGTGCCACCCTCCTGTCCCCCAGCCCCCGGGAGGAGGCACGGGCATGTGGTACAGTGGCTCTCAGCTTCAGGGTTCCGCCTGGGCACACCATCACCTGCCACACCCCTTTCCCATGGCTGGGTCTGCCCTCCACCAGGATGTTCTCCAGATTGCCTCCTGTGGAGGGAGGGTGTGTGTGTCTGTGTGTCTGTGTGTCTGTGTGTCTATGTGTCTATGTGTCTGTCTGTGCCAGCTGGGGAGGAGTGATTGTTCAGTGCCAGGCTCAGGGTGCCCCTGGGGCTCTTAGTACCACGGCTTGCCTTGCTCTGGGGGGTGGTTCCCTGGGTGAGCCTCAGCTTGTGACCCAGGCCGGGAAGGAGGGTTTTGTAAGAAGCCACATTGTCGTGCGTGATGTGAAAGGTGTGTCAGAGCTTCCAGGAGTTCTGGAAGCAAACCAGGCCCCAGCCCAGCCCTTGGCCACCCCACTGCATGCCGCTTTCGCCAGCACCCTGACCCCCGCTGCAGGGGCCCTGCTGGGCCTTGTCTGCCCTGGTGGCCTTAAAAGCTCACCAGTGCCCACACTCGCTCTGTCCCTGCCCGCAGGTGTCCGCCATGGCCGAGGAAGGCAGCGAGGAGATCCTGTTTGTCTGTAAGTGTGTTTCTGGGGGAGGGGGCCCGGCCTGTCTGGGAAGAGTCCAACCTCTCTTCTTCAGATTTCAGAAGCCGTTTCTTTCTCGGTAAATCCTAGAAGTATGATTTACCTCTGGAGAAGTAGCCCGTGGTCGGGTGGGGTATGGACTGAAAAGGATCCCTTTCCCCAGTTGTCCCGGCACAGGGCACAGGGAGGGGGGTATGGGTTCATGAAGGTGATCCCAGCTCTCAGAGAAGCGGGCTGGCTTAGAACCTGGGGGGTTGAGCATGGCTCGGGTGGGCTGCGTGACGCTCCTCCTGATGCCCGGGCCACACCCCGTCACAGCCTTCATCCTTGGGGGCCACTGCTGCCCCCCTCCCTCCCGCCTCCCCCACCAGGCTCATGGCCACAGATGGCCTCTGGACCATGGCCAGGTGACGCAGGATGTTGGTTTGCAGGGTGTGAGGACTGCAGCCAATACCACGACTCCGAATGTCCCGAGCTGGGCCCTGTGGTCATGGTCAAGGACTCCTTTGTGCTCAGCAGAGCCAGGTGAGTGGACCCCATGGACCCGTACCCAGGCCCACCCACTGGGCCGGTGTCCACCCAGGCAAGAGCCTGGCCACCATCAAGACGCACCAAGGGAGGGGGAGGGCAGCCAGCTGGGGAGACACGTGACGGCGCTGGACATTTAGAACCTCTGTGGCTGCCACCTGGGTATCCAGGGGCCCAGGACAGCAGGGCCTTCATGGGGATGTCCCACACTGGTCCAGCAACCAGGCTACCCCCACTCCTGACGGGTGTCAGGCCACAGCATGCGCCCTGGGTGCATGCTCCCCAGGTCTGGGTTGACAGACATCTGAGGGGGTGCTGGTGGGCCAGGGCGGGGGGCCTCACTCACATGCTGATGCAGGGGTGGGCAGAGCTTATGGAAGTGGGCAGCTGGGCTGTGATGGCCCTGGGTCCCGCTGCACGGCCACTTTTGACCCTGACCTGAGCAGCCCAGCCAGCAGCCCCTGTCCTGCGTCCTGCTCAGGCAGGGGTGGGGGAGGCCTAGAAGCTGGGGGCGGGGGGAGCTGAAGGAGGCTGCACCTGGCAGACTTCAGGGCTGACTCCTGCCTCTGTGCTCAGAGCTGACTCCTGCCTCTGTGCTCAGGGCTCACTCCCGGCTTTCTGCTCAGGGCTGACTCTTGGCTCTGTGCTCAGGGCTGGCTCCTATCTCTGTACTCAGGGCTCACTCCCAGCTCTGTGCTCAGGGCTAATTCCTGCCTCCGTGCTCAGGGTTCTCTCCTGTTGGGGCTCAGGGCACCATATGCTGTTGTGAGGTTTGAATTACGGTGTGACTGTCGGCCTTGTGTCAGACCAGGGCCTTCCCCCGGCCCGATCATCTCAGGTTAAGAGCCCTGACCTTAGAGGGACTCCTCCTGCCCCTCCCACCTGTCTGCCCATTCTCCTGTGACCGCCTCATGCTGACAGACAGGAGTGTTTTCCCTGGGGACCTGCTCAGCTGTTCTGGGTTGCCTCCTGGAGCCCTTTCTGGCACCCTGTAACCCACAGAAACCAAGTTGTGCAGGTGGGCCCAGGATGGGACGGGGCGCTCTCTGGCGGGTGCTACCTCTCTCCTCCAGCACAGCCCTTGGCCTCACTGAGACCACGCAGTGCCCCAGCCGGAGTCCCTGAGGCCTCTCCCTTCCCGCAGGCCCTGCTCTCTGTGTCACCTGCCCTGTCACCCCAGCAGTGGGACCCGCGTGTCTGTGGCTCAGACAGGGCTGTGTGGGCTGGCCTGGCCCTCAGGTCCTCAGGGCCCGCCGAGGGCCTCATCTGTCCTGCTGACCTCTCTAGGTCATCCCTTCCCTCCAATCTGGAGATCCGGCGACTGGAGGACGGGGCAGAAGGCGTGTTTGCCGTGACACAGCTGGTGAAGAGGACGCAGTTCGGTCCCTTTGAGTCCAGGAGAGTTGCCAAGTGGGAGAAGGAGTCTGCATTCCCGCTGAAGGTAAAGACCCTGCTCCGCCAGACTGTGCACCCTGGAGTGCAGAGCCCTGTTTAGTGTGTTCCCCCAAGCCCCGCCCCGATGGGTTTCAGCCCAGCCCCTGGTGGGTTTCAGCCCCGCCCCTGATGGGTTTAAGCCCCGCCCCTGTGGGTTTTTAGCCCTGCCCCCTGATGTGGTTTCAGCCCCACCCCTGATGGGTTTCAGCCCCGCCTTGTGATGGTTTCAGCCCCGCCCCCTGATGGTTTCAGCCCCCCATGGGTTTCAGCCCCGCCCCCTGAATGGTTTTAACCCCACCTCTGATGGTTTCGGAAGGGACAACGAGAACCATGCATCCAGCCGGGTGGGAAAGGAGCTCCTCTGGGAGATGGGGGCTGTGGAAGGCCCCTGCCAGCTGCCTGAGAGGCGGGACAGGGCCCGCCTTGGGCGCGTGGCCCCCTTTTCTCCGGGAAGCCGGGCGTGGATGGGGGCAGGGAAGGAGGCGGCGTGCGGGGGAGAGTGGAAGCCTCCCACTCCCGTGCTCAGGTTCCTGGACGTACCCTAAGATGCCCATCTGGGGGGCTTCTCTGCGCAGTCTCACCCTGTACCTGCCCCTCAGCTCCCTGCTTCCAGGGTCTCTGTGCTCCAGGGCTCGACCCCCGGGGAAAGCAGGGTGGGTGGGGGCTCGGCGTGGGCATCGGGGCGCCCTGTCCCTGCCATCCCCGCTGGGTGGGCCTCAGGGACCCGGCCTACGCCCTGCAGGTGTTCCAGAAGGACGGGCACCCCGTATGCTTCGATACGTCCAACGAGGACGACTGCAACTGGATGATGCTAGTGCGGCCAGCGGCAGGCGCCGAGCACCAGAACCTCACGGCCTACCAGCGCGGCTCCGACGTTTACTTCACCACACTGCGGGACATCCCACCGGGCACCGAGCTGCGCGTGTGGTATGCCGCCTTCTATGCCAAGAAGATGGACAAGCCCACGCTGAAGCAGGCCTGTGCCAGCGCCCCAGGTACGCACGGTGCCACCCCTCTGCCCGGGGCGTGGTCAGGGCCGCCCCCCACTGCCCCGTGGGGCCCCGCCCCTGCTGCCCTGGCCCTCTGCTGACCTGGGGAACCTCATGGTGTTCCTCAGAGTACAGATGTCCTGCAGAGGTGGACCGTCCGTTTGGCTGTGGGCAGCCCCTTTCAGGGGTCCTGAGTGTCTGCTGGAGGCTTGCTCAGGCTGGGGCTGGGGCCTCGCTCCCCCCACCCCCTATCAGACCAGCCCTTGCCTCTGTGCAGTCCCGGGTCTCGGCCGACAGACGGGTGGTGGGGTTGGGGGCAGGGGATCCATGTGGGTTCCACCGGGCCTGTGGACCCCTGAGGACCTGACGCCTCAGGCATGTAGCCACTGTAGGCCTTTACCACCTCTCCCTTTCGCCCCCACAGCTGCAGGCACCCCCGAGAACAGTGCCCCCACGGACTCGGAGCCCAGCCACTGGGGGTGCAAAGTGTGTGCGGCGGTCTTCACGGAGCTGCAGCTTCTGAATGGTGAGGGGCACTGCGGGGGAGGGGGGACCACCGCCTCCCACCCAGGCCAGCACACGTGGCCCCTGCCAGCTCCACTCTGAACAGCCTGGCCAGGTGCCGAGCTTCCGTCCCCAGGCAGAGGCCAGCCCTGCCCCGCCCCCCAGCCCTGCTCTCAGCTGCCCACAGGGCTGTCCAGAGAGGGCATGGTGGCCAGTCCCGGGCCTCCTGGAGCAGGCATTCTTAGGCACGAGGCCCCAGTGCCCTGCTCCAAGCCTTTTCCTCCCCCTCCCCCGGGCCCCCATCCCACTGTGATGGTCAGTAGGGTTTGAATGTCACCGATGTCCTGTCTCCAGCTGTAGCAGTGCTGCTTTTTGCAGGGACGTTTTAAGGCACTGTGACTTTCTTTCTTTCTTTCTTCCTTCCTTCCTTCCTTCCTTCCTTTCTTTCTTTCTTTCTTTCTTTCTTTTTGCTTTTTGGGTCACACCTGGCAATGCATAGGGGTTCCTTCTGGCTCTGCACTCAGGAGTTACTCCTGGAGGTGCTCAGGGGATCATATGGGACGCTGGGAATCGAACCCGTGTTGGCCGCTTGCAAGGCAAACGCCCTACCTGCTGTGCTATCGCTCCAGCCCGGGCACTGTGACTTTAAACGTGTGGTGGGACAATTCTGGTCAGGGATTGCTGTTGTCCCCCACCCCCACCCCCTGACCTCTGCTCCCCGCCACAGTGCCAGCACCGGCCCCTCCACTCCCAGCTGAAGTTGGTCTGTCTGGGTCTAGCTTGTGGGCCATTGTCCACCCTCGAGAGCAGTAGAGGTGGTCACTCTTCACTCTATATTTTTTGTTTGTTTTGGGGACACTCCTGGCGAGCTTGGGGGACCATATGGGGTGCTGGGGATTGAGCCAGGGCCAGCGTGTGCAAGGCAAACGCTTCTCCCTGCTGTCCTACCCTGGCTCCCTGAGTCCCGTGGCTGTGCAGGTACAGGGTTCGTGCGGCAGTGCTGGGCTTGCGTGTGTGGCCAGTGCCGGGAGCCGTCTCAGGCGTGTGTGGCCGGGCCCCTGCTGCCCCAAACCTTGCTCCCTCCTGGTGCTGTGGCCATTGCTAGGCCCTTCCTGGGGCAGGGGCCACCAGGGTCCTGCTCTGCCCTCCCCATGCCCCCCGCACAGGCATCCCGGAGGAGCTACCGAGCAGCATCTCTCCCGAAAAAATTGCTGTGGACGTTTTTCTTTTTCTTTGTGACTTGCCTGGACTCTCAGACATGCAGGGCGGGTCCCTGAACCTGTGGGCAGGGCCAGCACCCCGGGCCCAGTGTGCAGCCTCCGCCTGCATGCCCCCGCGCCCCACTGGGCCAGGCTGGTCACAGGCCCCACAACCTGGTTAGAGTGGATGGCCAGCAGGGCTCTGGCCTGTGTCTCTGCTCTCCTGGGGAGTTTCACAGGCCGTTTGTTGACCACTGAGGGACTCTGCCCCGAGTCGTCCGCTCTGAGTCTCCGTGGTCTGTGCAGCTGTGTGTTCACCACGGGAAGTTCGAAAAATACAGATCCGCTCAGTCGGGGGCCATCATGGAGCCAGGAATCCCCGGCCTGTGCCAGGCACCAAGGCCCCAGCCCCGCCCGCTGCAGCCCCTGGTCCTTCCTGCGTGCTGGAGCCAGAGCCCTCGTGTTCTCTGCAGCCGGAGGATGGCCCCTCACTGCCTGTGTCCTTGCCGTGTTCCCTGCAGAGCATTTGTTGGGTCACTTGGAACAAGCCAAGACTGTGCCTCCGGCCAGCCAGCACACAGCCTCCGCAGAGAAAGGGCCTGAGGGCCCCCCCGGGGAGCCGCCCCCTGCTCCCAAGGGCACTGGGAGCCCCAAGGAGCAGAAGAAGAAGCCTCGAAGGGGGAGAAAACCCAAAGGCTCAAAACCTGAGCAGCCGCTGGTCATCGTGGAAGGCAAGGGGCCTGCAGGTGGGCCGGGGAGGGGCGCAGGTGGGCAGGGAGGGCTGCAGGTGGTTCCCCTGAGGGAGGAACCGGTAGCTGGGGCTGTGCCTGGCAGTGTGGGTGTGCTATGGGAGCCCAGCTGGGTCATCTCTGCCTGGCAGGAGCTTCCTTGGTGGCATCAGTGTGACCCTGGGCCAGACAGTGCCCCCCCTTGGGGGCTCGGGTGCCCGAGAGTTCTGAGAGCCCCCAAGCGCCACCCTCATGTGCCCACACTGGCCTTCTGCGGCCTGAGCTGCTATCCCCTCGGCTGGCCACCTGCCTGGGCTGTGGTCCCTCCCTGCCCTGGTGACAGCACGTCCTCCTCCCCCCCCCCCCACCCCGCCACAGAGCAAGTGGCCGAGATCGTAACTGAGGTGCCCCCAGACGAGCCGGTGCCCGCCGCGCCCGACGAGCGGATCATGGAGCTGGTGTTGGGGAAGCTGACCACCACCACCACCACCGGTGACCCCAGCCCCGGGCCAAAGTAAGTGGAGCCTGCACCATCCTGGGGACAGAGCGCATAGAGTGAGGCCTGCGGAGGGAGACTAGAATGTTCTGAAGCAGGAGTTTAACTGAGAATACTTGGAGACAAAATCGTCTCATGGGGTCAAATGCACTTGACATAGAATTCACCACTTCCTCCTCGCAAGTACTGTCAGGGAGCCAGCCTCTCCAGCCATTTCTAGAACTTTCCATCTCAACAGAACACCTGTGCCCATTACAAACAGAATACCTGCAGTCTCGGCCCCACCACCCACTTCCTTTCTTTATGGGAACATAGAGTGTCCCTGGGCACCCACCACCCACTTCCTGTCTCTGTGATGATGCAGAGTGTCTCTGGGCACCCACCACCCACTTCCTGTCTCTGTGATGATGTAGGGTGTCCCTGGGCACCCACCACCCACTTTCTGCCCCCTGTGTGGGTAGTGTTTTGTGCCTGTGGGCTCCTGGCAGGCGTGGACCTGTTACTGTCTCTCAAGCCTTGTACCTGCTATCTTGGGGTCACCATGATGTGGTGCTTCTGTGGCCCTCTTCCTTCCGTGGCCAACGAATGTTTGGCGAGGCCGGGGCCTGCTCTGTCCCCCTCCACCCTCTCTGGGACCCTGGGGCCTCCAGCTTTCCAGCTCAGACCCTGGGATTGGAACTTCTTGGGTGCAAGCACCCTTCTGTTTTACTTTCTTTTCGAGAATGAAGCAGAGACGAATGACAGTGAATCTGTTGTGCTGGCTGCCCGTCCCTGAGGGCCCTTTCTGGGGTGACCTGCCACTATCCAAGGCAGACTCAGGATCGTCAGGACACGCTCCTGAGTGAGCCCCACTCTCCCTCCTGCGGGATGAGGAGGAGGGCAAAATTGGGATCAGTCAGTCGAGGACCCTATGGGGGCGGCAGAGACAGGGCGGCTCGGCCTACCCTGGGCTCTGCACCTGGAGCACTGGATTGAGAGACCTTGCCACGGCTGGTGTGGGCTTGGGGATGCTGAGAGCGCCCCTTCTGTCTGCGTCCTTCCAAGGGGATGGCAGCCTGGGGTGTCCCCGCCCGACCCGGCTCCCCACGTGATCGCCAGGTTCCCCCATCATCCCGGCGGGCCCATCGCCCTCAAGAGGAGCCTGATCCTGTCGAGCCGCCACGGCATCCGGAGGAAGCTGGTGCGGCAGCTGGGCGAGCACCGGCGCGTCTACCAGTGCAGCCTCTGCAGCAAGACCTTCCAGAACAGCAGCAACCTCAGCCGCCACGTGCGCTCCCACGGTGAGTCCCACGGGTGATCCCGGGGAGCCCCACTGGCCCACACGGCCCTGCAGCGCCCCAAGACCCCCTCCCCCCCATGCCTGTGGCCCCCAGGGGACAAGCTGTTCAAGTGCGAGGAGTGCGCCAAGCTGTTCAGCCGCAAGGAGAGCCTGAAGCAGCACGTGTCCTACAAGCACAGCCGGAACGAGGTGGGCGGTGCTGGCCTCCGTGGCAGGGGGCACCTCGGACATGGTGTGCATCTGGGGCCTGGCGGGAGGGGTGGCTCCTCCCGGCCTCCGCTGAGAGAAGAGGAGCAGACATGCCCTGTGGAAGCTTCTAGAGGGACAGTGGGCTGTGGCCGCACGTGGCTCACGCATGGCCTTGCGCAGGTGGATAGCGAGTACCGGTACCGCTGCGGCACCTGTGAGAAGGCCTTCCGCATGGAGAGTGCGCTCGAGTTCCACAACTGCCGCACCGGTGAGCTCCCAGCCTGCCCTGCCCTGCCCTGCCCTGCCCTGCTCGGGTCCTCCCAAGTGCCCCCTGGGGGCAGCTCTGGCGCCTGCAGCGTGGCCTGCTCCTCACAGTGCTCCTCCTGGGGCCCCCTGGGGGCAGCCGCTCCCCAGCGTTGGCTTGCAGGTGTGACGTGGCCCCTGTCTGGGCCCTCTCCGCCTGCTCCCCCTGCCCCTTCCCGTGACACGGTCAGCCAAGGTGACCACCGGAGCAGGCGGGGACCCAAACGGGCGCCCCTCCCTGAGAAACCAGCGGGCCGGCCCAGGTCTGGGAACTGGTGTCCTTCCTCGGCCCCTCTGAGCAGGGCTGGGGCAGGCGGAGGTGTCTGGTGCAGTGGGGCTGCAAGAGGCCGCTGGACCAGCCTGTGTGCGGGCAGCTGCTGCTCCCCACCCTGGCTCAGCCACAGCAGGCTCAGGATCTGCAGCATGGATGGAGGACAGCGTGGAGGCAGCCCTCCTGCCTCGCAGACCTTGAATGGGCACTCTGGGACTTGCCAGCTGCCCGGGGCTCCCATGGGGGGCGGGGGCTGGGGGTGCCCTGTCTGCAGCTGGCCAGCCCTGCTCAGCCTCCAGACCACTGAGGGGGTCCTGTCTTCCCATAGTCCCCAGGCTCGCACCCCTGCCTGCCCGGTCCCGGTGTTGCTTGTCTGTCTTTGGTTGCTATGGCTCCCGGAAGCGCCAGGACCTCCGGGGCAGCAGGACACGGAGGACAGGGTAGTCCCCTGGTGTGACAGCTGGCCCTCAGCAGTCTGCTCCAGCCCTACTAGCACAGGAATCACCTGTATGAGTCACCTGCACCTGGCCAGCAGAGGGAGCACCTGTGTGCATCGCCTGCTTCTGGCCAGCAGGGGGCACCCTCGCACCTGTACTTGCTCAGAAGGGACACACCTCCCAAGGGGGCGTCCATCTCCCAAGTGGTACCCTGTGTCAAGTGCTAGGCTGACAGGGAGGTGTTTGCGGGTGGCCATGGCCATGGGGGCCTGACTGAGCCTCTTCCCTCCACTCTCTTCCTCTCTCCCTTCCCCCCTTCCCTTCTCCTCTCTCCTCCTCTCCCCTCCCCCTCCTCCCCATCCCTCTCTGCTCCTGTGCTCCAGACGACAAGACGTTCCAGTGTGAGCTGTGTTTCCGGTTCTTCTCCACCAACAGCAACCTGTCCAAGCACAGGAAGAAGCACGGCGACAAGAAGTTTGCGTGCGAGGTGTGCAGCAAGCTCTTCTACCGCAGGGACGTCTTGCTGGACCACAAGCGGCGCCACCTGGAAGGTGGGCAGGAGGCGCCCGTCCTGCGCGTTTACGGGGGCCTGGGCCGCGGGGCGCCCTGGCTCCTCGGGTCGGGGGTGGTCTGGGCTTTGAGATGGGTCCCTGGCAGCCTGAGGTGGGACGTTCTGGGGACGCTGTGGGATGGCTCTGAGTGGAGCCCCTAGCTCCTCTGGCTGCTCCCTGCGAACGCAGACCACAGGTTTGTGCCACAGGCTCGTGGCTCCGGCTGTCGAGTGAAGGAAAGGAGGGGTGGGCCTTGGGGGTCAGTTCTGGTGGGTAGAGGGTGTGTAGGGAGCTGGTAGTCAGGCCCAGGCCTTAGGGGACTCCCTGGGGGCAAGCGGGGCCTTCCTGCCCTTCCGGGGTTCTCCACACCACGGACCTTAGGTTAGGGGGGCAGCCACAGGTGGGCACAGACGGCACAAAAGGCTCTTCCTGGCACCGGTCCCCCAACCCCCAGCCCCTTGGGTGCTCCCGAGAAATGCAGCAGCTCCCCTCGGCAGGTGTGCGTCGGGTGAAGCGTGAGGACCTGGAGCCCAGCGGTGAGAGCCTGGTGCGCTACCGGAAGGAGCCCTCGGGCTGCCCTGTGTGCGGCAAGGTATGGCCCCCAGGAAAGGCGCATGTGTGCAGCCCGAAGCCCGCAGCCCGCAGCCCTGCTCGCGGCGCTCCTGTGGGGGTCAGACAGCCGGGCCTCTCCCTGACACATGAGCCCACAGCGCCTGCTCGAGCCATGTCACTCACTGTGGTGGGCAGCCTGGGGCGTGGGGTGCCTCTGCGTGCCCGTGCTGGGGGCTTCATGCCTGGTGCTGGGAGGCGTGGGATGCCCCCTTCATGCCTGCTGCCCGCAGGTGTTCTCCTGCCGCAGCAACATGAACAAACACCTGCTCACGCACGGGGACAAGAAGTACACCTGCGAGATCTGCGGCCGCAAGTTCTTCCGCGTGGACGTGCTCCGGGACCACATCCACGTGCACTTCAAGGTCTGCGCCTGCCTGGGGCGTGGGCACTGCCTGCTGCCACCTGGGGGGCTTACTGGGCAAGTCCCCTTGCATGTACCTGCCCGCTCCGGGTGCCCCGGGAGCTGAGGGCCGGAGGGAAGAAGAAGCCCTGGCAGGGCCCCACAGAAGGAGGGTCTGGAGCGCAGTGACCGCAAGGAGGGGGTGACTGTAGGGAGGGGGTGACCATTAGATATGGGGCCCGGGGGAGCCATCTCGGGGGCCATGGTGCGTCTGCAGCAGGCCCTGCCCATGCGGCCCCGGCCTTAGCCCCTGCCCGGCCCTGCCCGCAGGACATCGCGCTCATGGACGATCACCAGCGGGAGGAGTTCATCGGCAAGATCGGCATCTCCTCGGAGGAGAACGGTGACGACTCGGACGGCAGCGCCGACTCAGAGCCGCACAAGTACAGCTGCAAGAGGTGCCAGGTAGGCGGGCCGCCCTGGCCAGCCGGGGCGGGGCTCGGGGCGCCCCTCCCGCCCCCAGCGGCCGCCCCCGCCCCGACACCAGCACCGAGGTGCCTGTCACGCAGCTCACCTTCGGCCGGGGGAAGGAGTACCTCAAGCACATCATGGACGTGCACAAGGAGAAGGGCTACGGCTGCAGCATCTGCCACCGTCGCTTCGCGCTCAAGGCCACCTACCACGCGCACATGGTCATCCACCGGGAGAACCTGCCTGACCCCAACGTGCAGAAGTGAGGCGAGGCGGAGGTGGCTGGGGGGCGGGCCTCTGGGGTGGGGCTTCCTGGGTATAGCTGAGGTGGGTGGGGCGCTGGGGGTGGGGCCTCTGGGGTGGAGCTGGGGGCGGGGCTCTGGGGGCAGGTCCTGGGGGGGGGTTCTCAACAGTGTCAGCCCTGCCCCTCACCCTTAACTGAGGCGCTTCTTTTTTTTTCTGGGGCCCAGGGCCTTGGCGTCTTGGCCCCAGCCCTCCTCCCTACTGCCTGGCTCTGCCTGACACCCCCTCAGTTGTTGGGGGCCCCAGTCTGGGACTGCCCACCCTGACCCGAGTCCCTTGCAGGTACATCCACCCCTGTGAGATCTGTGGGCGCATCTTCAATAGCATCGGGAACTTGGAGCGGCACAAGCTCATCCACACGGGTGGGTCCCTGCAGAGTGCCGCCGGGCATGCCGGGCTGTCACTGGATGTCTCTGGGCTATCCCCAACTGTCTCTGGGCTGTCCCCAGCTGTTTCTGGGCTGTCTCTGGCTGTTTCTGGGCTATCTCTGGACTGTCTGGGCTGTCTCTGGCCTATCTCTGGGCTTTTTCTGGACTGTCTATGGACAGTCTCTGGACTATCTCTGAACTGTCTCTGGGCTGTCTCTGGACTATCTCTGAACTGTCTCTGGACTATCTCTGGACTATCTCTGAACTATCTCTGGGCTGTCTCTGGACTATCTCTGAACTGTCTCTGGACTATCTCTGAACTATCTCTGGGCTGTCTCTGGATTGTCTCTGGATTGTCTCTGGCCTGTTTCTGGGCTGTTTCTGGACTGTCTCTGGGCTGTTTCTGGACTGACTATGGGCAGTCTCTGGACTATCTCTGGGCTGTCTCTCGGCTTTGTCTGGGCTGTCTCTCGGCTTTGTCTGGGCTTCTCTGGGCTGTCTCTGGATGTCCCCAGGCTGTCATGGTGTGGTGGGCCCAGGGCCCCACGTGCCCTACCCCAGCCTGGAAAGGCCCTGGAGGCGACCCCAGAGCCCAGGGGTGTTGGGGCTCCCAGCGCCCCGTGACGGCAGGGGCTGAGCCTGGTGCTTGCAGGGGTGAAGAGCCACGCGTGCGAGCAGTGCGGCAAGTCGTTCGCCAGGAAGGACATGCTGAAGGAGCACATGCGTGTGCACGACGACCTCCGCGAGTACCTGTGCGCGGAGTGCGGGAAAGGTACGGGCCCCTGGGCGCCGGCCCCCACGCCCAGCCGCTTCCTGCTTGCAGGATGTTCTAGCAGCTTCCGTGCCAGCCTCCGCTTCGGCTCTGCTGGTTCTGCACAGCTGCCCGCAGTCCTGGGCAGGTCGGGCGGGGGTGTTCGGAGGCCCCTGCAGCTGGGCCTGAGCCTGCCAAGGGCTATACAGCTATGCCCCATCGTCCCTGCTGTTCCCTTTCCCCGTCCAAGTACTCAGATGAGATGGGGCGCGTTCAGGGTGGTGTGGCCCCAGACGACGTTCCCTGCCCAGGAACCCAGTGTCAGCACCTGTCCCTGCTGAGTCCCTGGCTGTCCTGGCTGCCGTGTGGCCACCCCATGCTGGTCTCAGGCAGGGCTGTGCAGCTGTTCCTTGTAGACCACCAGACTCGCCGGCCCTTACCCCAGTTTAACCTGTGCAGGGACCTGGCCACTCAGGGATTCCTGCCTGGGCATCTCCCACCACCCTGGAAGACCCATCCTGCAGACCGCCCTCACAGGCCCTTTGATTCAGGAGCAGAACCAGTACCCCTCCTCTTTTCCAAGTCTCCCCTAGAAACGGTCTTCCAGGGCCAGCCCACAGTAAGGAGGCCCGGCAGCAGGGGTCACTGTGCCCGAAACACCTGGCACCTGGGGAGACCGCTGCCCCTACCCCGCCCCGACCCTCGGGCCTCAGAGATAGGCACGGGAAGTCAGGCTTTGAGAAATACCGGGTTTCCCCAGAGCAGGTCATCAGCGTGCTGCAGGTGGCATCGCCTCCCGCAAGGGAGAGGGTGCCCGGTGGACTAGTGGGGAGGATCGAAGGGCGGATGCTCACGTGTCCTGTGGCCAGGTAGCCTTTTCCTCCAGGAAAGCTGCCCGGTGCATGGGCTGGGCTGGAAAGTGAGGATGGCCTCTTGGCCCCTCGGTCCGCCTGCTGGGAGGGTAGCTGGCAGGCCTGCAGACTTGGGCTGTGCAAGCTGGGTGCAGTGGGAGGCCTGTGGCTAAGTCCCCGAGCCTGGGAAGGGCGCCATGCCTGGAGAGTGGACCTGTGCCGGCGCCAGCCAGCGGGGCGGGAGGAAAACCAGGAGACCACAGGGCCACTGCCCACCCAGTTTCCCCCGAAGGCCCAGGCCGGGGACAGGGCCAGGGCCTGATGCGCGGGTTCCGCAGGCATGAAGACCAAGCACGCGCTGCGCCACCATATGAAGCTGCACAAGGGCATCAAGGAGTACGAGTGCAAGGAGTGCCACCGCAAATTCGCGCAGAAGGTCAACATGCTGAAGCACTACAAGCGGCATACGGGTGAGCCGCTGTGCGGGGCCTGATGGGGCAGGGACGGGGGCGGGACTGGTGGGCGGGGCCTGGGGCAGGCTGGAGGATGAGCCAGATGGGGGCCGTGCCTGGCAGCCGAGCCTGATGGGGTGGGGCTGGTGGGTGGGCCTGCAGGGGCCAGGGGTGATGGGCGTGGCTTAGCAAGAGCAGATGGGGTTGATGGGCGGGGCCGGCACTGGTGGGCGTGGTTGTGGGTGTGGCCAGCCTTTCATTGGGCGTGGTTGTGGGTGTGGCCGCCCTTTCATTGGGCTGGCTGGTAGGCGTGGCCTGGTCGTGTGGGCGAGTCTGGATGATGGGAGGGGCTGGGGTTGTGTGCTTGGGCAGGTGGGACTAGAGGCGTGGCCTGGTCTCAGGGTGTGGTTGGTGTGGGTGGGGCCTTCTTCCGCCCTGCCCTCGGGAGGGGCTGGGAGTCAGAGTGCCAGCATCTGCCCTGCTACCCGGGGCTGCAGAAGCCGCGATCTTTGCGCAGACCCGGAGTGCCATGAGTGCCGGGACGCTGCCCATGGCTAACTTGCAACCTACCCTTGTCCTCCTCCCTGTTTCCACTCCATCTGGTGTTACTCGGCCCACGTAGGGACCAGCACACAGTCCGCCTGCCCTCCAGCTCTGCCCCCCACCCCATGGGCCAAGCTCCCACGTGGTTCCATGTGACCCAGTGCAGGCCTGGGTGGGTAGGGAGGGTCACTGGGTGTATACTCCCCAGGCTCCCCAGCTCTGCACTCCCGGACGTGGCCATCGGAATCCGAGGGGCCCCGGGGTGCAGCGGCCTGCGTGGCCCAGAACTTGGGACCCTGCGGTCACCCCCGGCTCTGGGCAAGACCCCTATGTCTCAGGCTTCTTGGTGTGGTGCTCCTGAGGAGGTGGGACGACCCCCTCGAGACTGGGCAAGCCCAGGGCCTGTGTGTGCAGCTCTGGAAACAAACAGAAGCAAGCTCAGTGGACACCTGAACGCACTCTATGTGCCTTGGGGGACCCTGGTTATCTGGACACAGCTCTCCGGGACCAGGAGGTGGACTTGGGCATTCTGGGAAGCCCAAGGCCTGTCCCCACGGCACGACCTAGTGATGACCGGGCCCCTGTCCCACCCGCAGGGATCAAGGACTTCATGTGTGAACTGTGCGGGAAGACGTTCAGCGAGAGGAGCACCATGGAGACGCACAAACTCATCCACACGGGTGAGCCTTTGCTGCGGGATACGGGGAGGCCACTCCCAGGTCCCTGCGTCCCTGGGCTGGCCTGACGTCTCCCTGTCTTCCTCTCCCCCCCACCCATCCCGGCAGTGGGCAAGCAGTGGACGTGTTCCGTGTGTGACAAGAAGTACGTGACCGAGTACATGCTGCAGAAGCACGTGCAGCTGACGCACGACAAGGTGGAGGCCCAGAGCTGCCAGCTGTGTGGGACCAAAGTGTCCACGCGCGCCTCCATGAGCCGCCACATGCGGCGCAAGCACCCCGAGGTGAGGCTCGCCTCGTGCTTGCCCCGCCCACTGCACCCTGAGGTGAGGGCCTGACTTGCCTCCTGCACCTGGGAGTGGCCCTCAAGTGGAGAACACCTGCGCCACCTGCCCCAGGGAAAGGGGACTCGCCCCTATCACCAACGGGGTCACTGCATGGCGTCCGGGAGTGACCGGGAGGGAGGGAGGCACAGAGGCACGCACCCCTCATCTAGGGCATGCAGTGACCCAGGTGCTTTAGACCGAGGCTGGCTGGGGACAGGTGAAAGGTGCTGCCTACACCTGGGGTGTGTCTGGGTAGGAACGCAGGGGGCAAGAGCAGGCAGGGGACCCTGCGGGCCACGGCCCAAATGGCTCCTTCGGGCTCCCTCACGCCCCCCCCCCATACCACGCCAGCACGGATTGCGGGGTCCCATTTTGCTGTGTTTTCTTACTGGAAGGAAGCACCCCGGAGACCCAGGGGCCAGAGCAGAGCCCCATAGCTGCTGGCCTCAGAGAACTTTGGGGAGTCCTGGAGCAGGGGGGCAGCAGGAAAGCTGGGGTCCAATCAGCCCTGACGGTAAGGAGGGGCTGCTCCACCCCAGCGCGCTGCTCTGCCGCAGGTGCTGGCCGTGAGGATCGACGACCTGGACCAGCTCCCGGAGACCACCACCATCGACGCCTCCTCCATCGGCATCGCACAGGTGAGCCGGCCAGCTGCTCTGCTGGCACAGCCTCTTCCTCCCAGCACCCCGATGGACTGCTCTCACCCATCCCTAGGACCGCTCTCACCCGTCTCTAGGGCCACGTGTCAATGCCCAGATGGTGGACTGGCCATGGCCGACTCCATCCTTTGTGCTGGGTAGTGATCTGGGAGGCTGCTGCACCCCCCAGATGCAGAGGGCATGCCGGCCCCCCCCCCCCCCCCGAAAGAGAGGCTGTTGGAGGTCTAAAGGCCTTCTGGAGGTCAAGCTCCTCCCTGTCTCTGGGGCCTCTGGGGTTTGTCTTCAGGCTCAATCCCCCGATCAGACCAGGCCCACCCATGTGACGTTCATTCCACTAATTTGGTTGGGATTTGAAGCCCCTCTTAAACACACCTTCCTGGGGCTGGAGAGACAGCGGGTAGGGCATTCACCTTGCACACAGCTTCCCGGCACCATTTAAGATTCCCTGAGCCACTCCTGCGTGCAGAGCCAGGAGTAAGTCCCGTGGCCTCAGACAACAGAAGAGAATAAACAAAAATAAGTGAGACAGGCTGTCACAGGTGGCTGATGAGGTGGGGAGCGAGGGAGGAAGCCTGAAGGAAAGTCTCTTCCCCAGTGCTGGCGTCAGCTCTGAGCACCTGCTAAACGGCACGACGCTCAGCCCCCGCCCAGAGAGCCGAGTCCTTGGGAGCCCTGGACTCAGGCTGGGCTGCAACTGGCCCCTACAGGGAGGGGCAGGCCGCTCCCACCCCCTTTCCTTCCGTTCCTCGCAGGAGAAGAATTTCAGGAGGAGGTGCAGTAAAACATTTACTTAAGAGTTACGTGAGGAGAGAGAGAGAATACTTGTTCTGGAGAGAGATGGGTTTCTCCGGAGCAGGAGGAGGCTAAGTAGGAGGGTCCCAGGCTGTCCTGGCCTGGGGTGCGCACGTGGGGAACAGTGTGGGTGCCATCGTGGGAAGCCTTGCACTCTGGGGGTCCTGTCTGATTTTCATCATGACCTTTCGAGTCTCCTTTCTGGAGGGTCCACCCTTCTCTGGGGGTGCCTCCGTTTCTCCAAAGAACTCAAGATTCGTAGCCTTGGAAATTCAAGAGTTGAGGCCTTTGGGCTACTTTCAAGGCTGGATAATTTTTTTTTTTTTTTGGGCTTTTGGGCCACAAAAAAACATTATTCAGGGTTCCTCCTGGATCTGCCCTCAGGAATCATTACTGGTGAGCTCAGTACCATCTGGGATGCTGGGATCGAACCCAGGTCAGCTGCGTGCTGTACTGTGGCTCTGGCCCCGGGGCTGGGTCACTTTTTAGATCTTATTTCCCAGAGCTCATGCCCAGCCCCAGGCTGGAGCGATAGCACAGCGGGTAGGGCATTTGCCTTGCACGCAGCCAACATGGCTGACCTGAGTTCAATTCCTCCGCCCCTCTTGGAGAGCCCGGCAAGCTCCCTAGAGTATCTCACCCGCAAGCTACCCATTACGTATTTGATATGCCAAACACAATAACAACAAAGTCTCACGATTGAGACATTATTGGGCCCGCTCGAGCAAATCGATGAACAATGGGAGGACAGTGACAGTGACATGCCCAGCCCCAGCCCTTTGCCTGAGCACATGCCTCCCCCAGAGCTTCTGGCCTGGGTTTGGCCACACACATGTAACAGATGGTTTCCTGGAAGCTTTGGAGAAGTCAGATGCAGGGAGCAAAGTCACTTTTGATGTCTCAGGAGTATGGGGCGGGGGGTGGCGTGTTGGGCCGCCGTGGCCCCTGTCTGCATTCCAGCTGTCTCCTGGGCCCCTCGCCTGGTCTTCCCTCTGTAAAGGGCTTTGTTACCTTTGTCAGTGTTTGTTCCTGTCAAGAGTGTCAGTGTCACGGTCCCCGTGGCTCGTGGTCCCATCTATCCCATGTTTGGGGATTGCGCTCTGTGCACAGTGCTCATGTGTGGGGCACTTCATGGCCCCGAGAATGCTGTGCTCCCACCTCCATGTCCAAAGCCCAGGGCTGTGCCCCGGGAGGGACTAGTTCTGGCTGGTCACTGTGCTGCTGGCCTGAGGCCAAGTGAGCCAGAGTGAGCCAGCATGCATTGGGTCTGGCCTGGTGGCGAGTGAGTCAGGCCATGCACCATGGACACTCACAAAGACCCCAGCCCAGTCGGGGGTGAGTCGGGCCACGCTCCGTGGACACCCACAGAGACAGCCCAGCCGGGGGTGAGTCAGGCACTTGCTGTGGACACTCTAGACCTCAGCCCAATCGGGAAAATCAGGCCATGTGCCGTGGATTCTTAGAGACTACATCCCAGCCAGGGTGAGCCAGCCACTTACCACGGACACTCAGAGATCACAACCCACTCTGGAAGTGTCAGGTCACATGCCGTGGACAGACTCCAGCCCAGTCGGGGGTGAGTCAGGCCACGTGCTGTGGATGCTCACAAAGACCCTAGCCCAGGCTAGACTGAGTCAGACATGTGCCGTGGACACTCAGAGGTCCCTGCAGATGGCCACGTGGTCGTGGGGGGGCAAACCCCTTTTGATCCTGGTTGTTTCCGCAGAGAAGGCCACACTGTGGCTGTGGGCCTGCTCCCAGCTGGGCCCAGACCCTCTCGTTCCCCTCCTTGCTCACTGTTTGCTCCGGGTGGGTCTGCGCACAGGGCCGCCCTCCCTGCAGGCAGGGTCCCTGGGCTAGAAACGGGGCTGTTGGGGCAGGTTCCGGAGGCTACAGGCCTCTTGGTCTCTGGGCGCAGGTGGTCAGAGGCTGCGTGAGCCAGAAGGCCCAGCACCCTGCTGCTCTGGCCAGGCTCATCATGGTAGCCGGAAGTGGGCTGGATGTGGAGGGCATCCAGCAGCATCATCTCCTTTGGATGGGTGGCGCTGACCCGCGATGGCCGCACTCCTGTCCCCGCGGCCCCGAGCACATAGGGGCGGTGGGTAGGCGGCGCTGACCCAGTGACCACACTGTCTGCAGCCCGAGCTGAGCACGGAGCCTGAGGAGCCAGCCGAGGGCAAGCAGGCCAAGGCACGGCGCACCCACCGGCGCAAGCAGAAGCCCGAGGAGGAGGCTGCGGCGGCGCCAGGGCCCGAGGACCCGCCCTTCAGCGACTTCTCGGACAAGGAAGCGCCGTTCACAGGCAGCGTTGGGGATGAGACAGACTCAGCCGTGCAGAGCATCCAGCAGGTCAGCAGGGCCCGTGGGCAGAACTCACAGGGGCCTGCGTCTGGGCGGCAGCGGGACCGTGGGCAGTCGTGCCCTGCATGCACGGTCCATGCGTAGTCTCGCCTGTGCCTGCGGAGGGTCCCACAGCTCTTCCCGGACCCTGGGTCTCAAATTGGGGTGCTCCAGACTCATGCCCAGGAGGAACCCAGCTTCTCGGGAGGGGGGGAGGCATGACCTGGGGCCTTCTGCTTCCCCTGGCCTCTGGGGAGATGGGAAGTCCACGCTGGCCAGAGCCGCCTCTCTCTGCGCCTCCGGCTGGCCAAGTCCACAGCTCAGACCTCTGCCCGTAAGTGGACTCCCAGTGGCATGGACAGGCGCCCCCTCCCCGGCTCTTCCCGGGTGGGCAGATGCAGCCCGGCAGGACGCTCATGCCTCCGTCCACCTGCCCCTCTTTCCAGGTGGTGGTCACTCTGGGTGACCCGAGCGTGACCACGCCCTCCAGCTCGGTGGGCCTGACCAACATCACCGTCACGCCCATCACCACGGCCACCGCGGGGACGCAGTTCACCAACCTGCAACCCGTGGCCGTTGGGCACCTGGCGGCCCCCGAGCGGCAGCTGCAGCTGGACAACTCCATCCTGACTGTCACCTTCGACACGGTCAGCGGCGCCGCCATGCTGCACAACCGACAGAACGACGTGCCACTGCACGCGCAGCCCGAGGCCTCCAACCCGCAGTCGGTGGCGCACTTCATCAACCTTACCACGCTGGTCAACTCCATCTCGCCGCTGGGCAGCCAGCTGGCCGAGCAGCACCCGCTGGCCTGGCGCCCCGCGCCGCAGACAGACGTCTTGCCGCCGCCGCCACCGCAGGCGCCCCCGCCGCAGCCCGCCGCACCCCAGGTGCCGGCCGAGCCGCAGCCGCAGATGTACAGCTACTGACACCGGGCATGGGCAGCTAGCGGCCAGTGGGGGTCGGCGGGGCGGCCAGCGGCGTGCAGCGGCACTGGCGTGCGGGGGCAGCCGGTGGGGACGGGGTTTTGAGCCCTGAGGGGTGGATACCAATCCCGAAAACATCCCCTGGTGCCGATGCGCAAACGTGGGCAAACATCCCCCATGCGCAAACGCCCCCACGGGGCCCAAGGATGCCCCGTGGACGTAGCCAAGCGGCCAGCACCTGTCCCAGAAGGCAGGAAGGCCCCTGCCCAGGAAGGGCAGCCGAGGCTGGAGTGGTCACAGAGCAGGCTTGGTGGGGATTTCGGGGTGCGGAGCGGGGACCCAGAGTTTCCCCGGAGCTGACCTGTGGGGGTGGGTCTTGTGTCGGCCGGAACTGAAGCAGCATGCCCCCTCCAGTCTAAGTTGGGTGGGGTTTGCCCCGTGGGCCTGGACGTGCAGAGCCCCAGGCCCCAGCGGCCGTGTGGCCCGGTTCCCAGCATGGTCCACAGACACGGATGACCCTCTGTCCAGGCCGTTTGTGGTGCTGAGCCTTCCCCAGCCCCCTCCCGGAGCCCCCCGGCTGCTGAGCAGGGCGAGGGATCACGTTGTCTTTCTGTCGAACCTTAATTCCGAAGCCGGTCGGTTGCCTTCCAGGCGGACGGTCCTGGCCGCCCGCAGCGGACAGCACGGCTCCCCCGCCCTGGGCTCTGCCTGTGCAAAACGACATCTATGCCTTACTGTGTCCTGGGCCCCGGCTGGCCCTGTGGCACTGGAGAGGTGGTCTCAGAGAAGCAGCGACTGCTGTGATGGGCATGATGCGGGCCAGTGTTTCGGCTGGTCCTGCAGCTGGGAGGGTCTGTCCTGTGCGTTCCTGCCCCCGCCCGGCCATGGAGGCGCATCCCCCACCAGGACCCTCCCCTCTCCCCTCCACCCACCTGCTTTGTTCCTCCACCCCCCCCTCCCCGCCGAGCCAACAGCCAGAGACGTTGAACTTTTTATTTATGATAATTATTTTTTAATGTTATTTATGTATGAAATTGAGTGCTTTATACATAGTCATTTCCCCCCAAAGGAACCGGGGCCAGGGGAGGTCTATTTTCTGAAATAACTGTCTCTAGCCTCCAGATACCCGGGGGCAGGAGCCTGCAGAATCACCCAGAGCATCTAGGTTCCCTGTGATGTTTTCTTCTAAACATCACAGGACGGTTCTTCTGGGTTCTGCGGGTCAGGCAGTTTCGTGCAGGACCCTGAGCGGACCCAGGCCCTCTCCTCCCGCCTCTTCCCTGTGAAAGAAAGGCCTTGGAGATCACAGGTTTATTTTTTTACAGAAGTTGTTTTTGTGCCTAGAGTTAAAGAGTGCTTCAGACATTTGTGAAGGTCCTATTTTGGGTGGTGTGGCCCCAGCTTGGTACCCCCTCCTGGTGATAGAAAAACGACCGGCCACCGTACGGCCTCTTGCAGTCGGAGAACCCAGAGTGAAAATCAATCGTGGCCCTGTTGCGCACTGGACAGACTTGGCCTCGGGGTGTGTCAGAGTCAGGCGGTTGTGTGGTGTCAACTTTGTGTTTGCTCAGTTGAAGCAAAGTCAAAAAGTCCGGCTCAGCCCTAAAGTTGGTGGATGAGAGGTCGGTCCATGCATCGTGCGAGGTTTTCTGGTGGAAACTCCTTCCCCATTCGTGAACCAGTTCTAGGTGCCCACCTGGGCCCTCGGGCCTGGCCACCATGGCCATAAGCTCTGTGAATCCGTCTTTGTTTTATTCTAAATTAATAAATCATGAGAATTTATTCCCAGCCCGTGATTCCATGCGTCTGGTCTGGCTCGGTGCCACTAACAGGAGTACCGCCAAGCTTCACCTGGGGGGGTGTGGGGGGAGGGACTGTCTCTATGCCTGGTGCTACCTTGCTGTGCTCCCAGCAAGCCACTCTGAAGGGTCAGGTGCGGATGCACCCTGCCCTGCCACCGTGTTTCCAGTTTGTGGCAAGAGGTGCATCTTGCAGCTACCCCGCGCAGTGGCAGCATCCATAGCTGCATGAAAAGGTGCCAGACGGCTTGGAGAAGCCAAGTGTGTCCGGGCCGTTGCTTGGCATGAAGCTGAGTGAAAGTCGCGGGGATGTGGGTTTCTCCAGAGCAGGCTGTCTTCTCAGCTGCCTGTCTCAGAGGTTGGCGGACATGGGATGTTTTGCAAGCGGTTCTAATTCCTACTGCCTGCTCCCTCTCTGGAGCCAGAGATGTTCGCATTGTGTGAAATGTTCCCCCAAGAACCTGAGGAGTCAGGACTCAAGTTCAGGGCAACGGGCAGGGCACTTGCCTTGTAGGCGACCAAGTCAGGTTCACCCCCCAGCACCCCATCAGCCCCCCCTGAGCCCCTCCAGGAGTATTCCCCAAGCGAAGGAGTGCATCCTACGCTCTCTTGCAGTTGGAGAAACCAGAGAAAATCAATAGTGGGTGAGGCCCCAAAGCTAAAAGATCCAGGAAGGCTTATCATAGCAGGTGGAGAGACCGAAGTGGGGAAGGTGAGTGTCCAGAGGGAAGGCCTAGTGGACCGTGTTTCTCTGGGGGTGGGGGAGGAGCGGTGAGGCGCTCAGGCCCTTCCTGACCTTAACTGTGGTCCAGATTTTTAGTGCGGGCTGGAAACCAGGTCCTGCCAAGGGCTCATTCATGTGGCAGTGGCCCACCACTTATCTATGGAAGAGTTCTCTTTGCTGATTGGCCCGGAGCTCTCATCGCTGATTGGCTAGAAACCTTCCTCTTCTCTGATTGGCCCGGATTTTTTTCATTGCTGATTGGCTAGGAGCTTTCATCTTCTGATTGGTGAGGAGCTCTCGTCTTTGCTGATTGGCTAACAGTACCCTGCAGCCCAGATCTCGCTGTCCTGGGGTGTCTCAGGGCTTATCCTAATGCCCCCAGGGCAGGGCCTAGCCACTTCTGGCCACCGCCTGGGTGGCCCTCATCACCAGAGGATGAGTCCAGAGGCCGGGGTGCGTGAGGTTGTGGTGGGGGGTGGGGGCCCAGCTGACACTCTCCACCTAAGCGCCTGTTCCTGCCTCCAAGTGGGTCCCACTCTAGCACAGGCGCAGGGCACCCAGGCCACTTCCCTCTCGCAAAATCTGGTGTCTGCTTGGACAGCGTTTCCGGAGTGTCCCTGCCCTGCCAGGCATCTCGCCAGGCTGCGCAGCCCCAGAATTAGCTGCCCTAGGTGACCTGGACAAAGCTGGGGGACATCGGGACATCCCGTGGAGCTGGCCATGTTCCTCCCTGGGCAGACAGCTGTGGCCCCCAGGACCCCCATGTTGGAGAAGGCCCTGAACCAAGGATCCGTTCCTTCAGAGGAAAGTGCCCAGGGTAGGGGTCTCTTAGCTGGGACAAGCCACCTAATTTCCCTGCCCTGTCCAGCGCTCTGCCACAGAAGGGGTGGAAACCCCAGGATATGGCTCTCAGTACATGCCCCTTGGGGGGCACATCCTCCTCCTCAGACCCGGGACAGAACTGGTGGCCAGAAAATGGTGGCATGGCCCCTCACCCCAGCCCCCTGCACATGGAAGAATCAGAATCCAGGGGAGGGGGCACTGCTCTCAGAAGCAGACTGCCTACATTTTAGGGGTGGGCACCAAAAACCGAAGCGGCACACTTTGAGAAGTGGAGAACTCAGTATATAGTCACCAGACCCAACCAGCTCAGGCTCCCAAGAGGGCCCTGAATGAAGGTGAGAGTTGTATTACTTTTTGTGTTTGTGGCTCATTCCCTGTCCTGTGATCCCTTGTCACCACCGCTGGTGACCAGGAGACACAGCCAGAGCATCACAGCAACCCGGCAACTTGGTAACCTGAGCAGAGCAAGGGCTCAGCCCCCACCGCCCCCTGCCCCCCACCCTCCCCATAACACCAGCAGTAGCTTCAGAGTCTGGAGGAAAGGAGATGTGATTGTAAGTGAGGGCATTTCTCCTAGGGGAGTCTTCAAGCACCAGAGGCTGAGGGTCAGCACAGCACATGGCTGCAGACCCTGAGGCTCTGACTGCAGAGACGCAGGAATGAACCGGAAATGATGCCTGTAGGGAGAGGCGGTTAGACGAGGATCTGAGAAGCCAGTGGTTCTGTCTGGAACGACTCATTCTGAATCATGAGACTGTCCCAGCACACCACGGCACAGGCACCTCACACTCTGCACACACCCTACTACACATCACACATCACACGCCACACATGTCACATATACACCACACACCTCCCACGTATTACATATAGCACACTGCACACACCCACACACCATGTACTCTATGCACCCTCACAATACACCCCCACAGACCTTAGACACCTCATACACACATATACACCCCACATGTATACCACAAAGCACATTTCAGACTTCACACATTCTACATATACCACATACCACACACTCCTCACTCCTTATACCATGTATCCACACACTTTGTACACAAAACACAGCCACACACCTCACAGCCCACACAATGCATGTAATCTGCCTCAGACACTTCACTCACCTCACCTCACACATCTATTTTCTCCCACGTGCACAGCACACACAGAGCCGTATCACAGCATCATATGCACGCACGCGTGCACACACACACATACACACACACACACACACACACACACACACACACATGCTCTTGAGCCCTGGCAATCTTCATGTTCCCTGCAGTCCACCTTTGTTTGCCCAGGAAGGTGCGGAGTGTGAAACCCAGATGTGTGTGTAACTCTGAGACTCTCTGGGCAGTGCTCTTCTGAGCACTCTGACCACAGAGCGGGCCTGCTGAATGACCCAGGTGTAGACTCCTCAGGGGAAAGAGCAGGACAGGCTCGGACACCACTGGGCTGTCTGTGCGGGGACCACAGGGCAACACAGAAAAGGTGAACTGGGATCAGGGACAGGAGCTTAGAGTCCTCGCCCTATCCCGGGCCCCCAAACTCACCTGCTCAAATCCTTGCCCCCCCCCCCACCCCGCGACCACGGGGGAGAATGGGTGTGAGCGCTGGAGGAGAC